CAAATAACAGAAACTTGTAAAAAAATAACGGAAACTTGGATTCCCGTTCCGTTCCCTGCTTCTTCTCACTTCAATTTAATAATTAAAAGTAGAAAAACTAATTTGGACCTAATCAATAGACGCCATGTGGACAGGCAGCAGCTACACGCTGCAACATGGGTTGCAGCTAAATTTTGCCCATTCTCTTCACAATCGATTGATGAATTAATGAAAGGTTGATATCTCCACCAAAGCATTGAAATCGTTATCTGTAAACATCCTTAGACTCTAGGCATATTTATGCTCTGTCAACGAAGATTTCATTTAAAGTGGTCAAATGAAAACATGACATGAGTACTAGAAACTTTGTACGTCAGAATTACATGTTGGATTTAAGGGAGACAAATGGGAAGTATCTGTATTGCTACAAACTTACTAATTTGCGAGATCATCAATGATCAGTGGCGGATCCAGGGGTGGCCACCCTAGGCCCTGGCCCAGCCCTCCTCTGGATCCATAGTTAGTATAGGTCTTATGAATTTTTCGATTTTAGATATTCGGGTCATTGTTATTTTAAAAATAAGATTGGATATAATTAGAAAAATAATTCAGATGAACGTATTCAAAATCACTATTCTAAATTTATCTTATAAATTCTAACCCCAAAGGTTATTCGTCTAAAAAAGCAATGAAACCTAAAAATTCAAAAAGTTAAAAACGTTAAAGACTAAAACATATATGAGGTTTGTTACCTTGGAAAATTTTCTAGAGCAGCTGGTGGACATAGGGATGGAAACACAATGCAAATAGATTAGTAGATTGATTTGTCTAGTGTTGATGCTGCTCGTTTCAACAACTAATACGAATAGAACCTTTTCAACAATGAAACATGTGAAAATTGATTTGCGCAACAAAATGAGCGATGAATTTCTAGTCGATTGCTCAGATATTTTATTTGAAACAGTGTATACTATTGGTATGGATGTGGACTCCATTATTAATGCATTCGCTAAATTAAAATACCGTCGTGTACAATTTACATTGTAAAAAATTATAATCATTATATTTTTTTTACTATTCTAATTTTCTAATAAAATGCGGCCCAGTGCACTTCTGTGTTCTGGATCCGCCGCTGTCAATGATCTTGTCGTTGTGCGACTAGTCAAGATATTCATGATCCAAATGTTTTAGAACCCTTACCTTCTAAGATGCTCTTCAGCGGTGTTTGCCTCTCTCATTTTCTATTGAAAGATTTTGTTGTGATGCGTAGGTGATTATCCGTATGATCAACGCGAGGGACTCGTCGCGCGCAAGAGATTCAAGTGACACGGTCTTTTTTTTTTCAACGTCCTTCGTTCCTATTCGTGTCCTATAGGTATATCAGGGTTGTCCATATCGTGACAAACAAGCCCTCGTAGCTATCCTGCTTCCCTTAGAAGATAATTATAGCAAATAAATACATAAAAAATAGCCCACCCCAGGTACACAATAATCTGTCTACCAAACCAGTTTCTCCAAAATTATCAAAGTACCTTACAATCAGTTGACTATTTCCACTCTTAATTTGAAGCTGTCAACTCTTCACATGACACTACTATTTGCTTCGAGTACGTCTCTCTCTCCGTACTTACATGTGCATGTCGACATATTTTCGACACTCCTTATAGGTCTCTTAGTTGTTTCATTCAAGTCATTTGCCACATTATTTACGTATTTTGATATTACCATGCTCTAAAGTATTAAGTGATATATGTTAACTAGTTAGGAAGACTCGGGTTTACTAGCTGTAACGAAACGATATGAATGCTAAAACACCGGGACGAACAATAGGAGTTTAACGCGTACTTCGCAGTGATTCTATGAAATACATAACTTGTTTCTTTTACATAATGACACTAATTAATTACCCAAACACTCTTTAATGATCCTCATATGCGAGCTTTCCGCTCTTCAAACAAAATTAAATCAGTGGTGAAAAAGAGGTTTCCAGTAGGGGTGGCTATACGGTCCGGTTAAATTGCCCCGAATTGATCCAGTCCCAGTACGGTCTTTTCGTAAAATATAAGGACCAAAGATTGGATTGGATACACCGGTCTTGATCCGGTATGGTCTTGACTCAGTCCGGTCCCAATTCGGCCTTGTTTTTAGATTGAACTTGTGGGGATTTGAGTGGATTGAGGACTCAAAGAGTGAGGAGTTGGTTAAGTTTTGGGTGGTGGCTCTCTTATCCAGTTTTTTATTCGATCCCAAACGGTTTTTTACCTCAAATCTAAGCCCAAATTGGATTTGATTGTTTGTTATCCAGTTCCGGTCTAGTCTCGGTCCGGGTTATACGGTCCGGTTTCGAGTAAAACCAAATAGCCTGGACCAAATAGCCAGCCCTAGTTTCAGAGCTTTTCCCGAACAGCCTGATCAATCCTGTGAGAGAGTCTCTCCATACAGAGTACAAAAAGATAAGGAGAGAGAGGGTCTCCCTGTATGACTCCGCGAGAAGGTGTGATCGGGGATGACAGCTCTCCATTCCATAGAATATGCATCTTGTTCTTTTCGACACAAAACATGATGCACCGAATCCAGGAGCTGGGAAAACCAATTTCCATTAGAGTGTCTCGGAGGAAATCCCATCTTAGTCTGTCATAGGCCTTCTCAAGGTCTATCTTAACTACCACCCCTCCTTTTCTCCCTTTCTTTTTCAGCAGAGAGTGAAGTACTTCCTGCAAAACTATGATGTTATCGACGGTCTGTCTGCCGGGGATAAAGCTACTCTGGCGCGGGGAAATTAAACTGCTCATGATCGGCTTCAGCCAATTAGTGATCGCCTTGGTAATGGCCTTAAGGTAGACATTGTTCAGAGAAATCGGGCAAAACTAGGAGACAAGTTCTGGGTAATCGACTTTAGGGATCAGCACTACCGTCGACTCCATCATACCATCGGGGAGCATCCTTGTAGCGAAGAAGTCTAGAGCCATGTCGATTAAGCTTTCCCCTACTGTCTGCTAGCAACTCTGGTAGAAGATTGCCTGGAACCCATCTGGTCTCGGCGCCTGGAAGAATCCTTCCCAAGAACTGCTTGGTGAATGTCCATGCCACTAAAGGGGTGAAGAAGTGTCATGTGCTCCTCCTGTCCGGTTTTGGGAAACCTTCCTTTAGGCATTTTGTCTTCATAAGCTTGGCTGTCCTGCACATAAGGTTGTTAATGAACCAAGCCGCTCATGAACGGCTCGGTGTCCGACTCGAGAAAAACTCGTTCGACACTCGATTCGTTTTAATCGAGCCAGCTCGCGAACAATCTCGTTAACTAAACGAGCCGAACTCGAGCCATACCATGTTCAGCTTGAAAGCTCGCGAACAATCTCATTAAATGGTTTGACATAAAAAAAGGATTAGAATTCATGGATTTTATGTATTGAAATTGGGATAAATATTGTGTTTTACTTTGCTAGACTTTGCTACAGTTTTGAATGTAATTTTGTGCGTAGTTCTAGGTCAATCTTGAGCTATTATGAACATCTTACGAGCTCGATTTTGGGCTCGTTAAGCTTATTTTAAGAACCGAGCTCGAGCGAAGCTCGAGCTTTCATTTTTATAAACTAGCCGAGGTTGAACTTGCATATTAAAGCTCATGACGAAAACGAGCCGAGCTCGAGCCTGGAAATATATTAATGAGTCGAGCCTGAACTATGGCAAAACTCGGCTCGACTCGGCTCATCAACAGCCCTACCTGCACATAAAGGTCAGCAAAGAACTCGAAAACCATCGCTACAAGCTCGATAGGATCTGAAATCCATTCCCCAACTTGATTTTTTAGGGAGACGATCATGTTCTTCCGCCAACAGATGTTTGTTTGTTGATGAAAGTACGAGGTATTTCTTTCGCCAAACTGAATCCATTTCTCCCGTGCTTGGTGAAACCAAAGAAGCTCTTCTTGCTCAGGATTTTATCGAGCTTTGCTTCTAGTTTGGCATGGAGTTTCGACAGCCCCGGGGAGAAACACTCAGCCATCCGCTTTTGAACCCCTTCGATCCTTTTGAGCAGTCTCTTTCTCTGCTGAAAAATGTTGCCAAAAACATCATGATTCCACTACTTGAGTTTGGCTGCTAAGTCTCCCAAAGATGTAGGAAGAGGGATAGCACCATTCCATTTTCCTTAGAGAAAATAGGCATACATATCATGAGTTATCCAAGCGGCTTCAAAATGAAATCTTGTAGCAGAGTTAGTCAAGCCTCCCTGGATAGCTAAGTTGGTCATTATGGGATGGTGGTCAGAGTGCAGTATTGGCAAATGGGCAACCATTGTATTAGGGTAGGCTTGATTCCAGATGTCGTTACACAGACTCCGGTCAATTCGACTAGCCTTATAAGAGGATGTTTGATCGCCCCGAGTCCAGGTGAAACAAGGTCCTGTAAAGCCCAGATCAATGAAGTCGGCCTTGTTGATTCAGTCATTGAAGGTCCTGCAACGCCGGAGGGTGTTAAGAGAAGTGTGCCCTGTGTTCTCCTCTAGGTTGCGAATACCGTTAAAATCACCGGTGATAAGACAAGGAAGCTCATTTGTTGTGCAAGTGGAGAATATGCTTTCCCACAGAGCTGGTTGAAGGCTGGGTTGCGGCGCTGCAGTCAAAATCCAAGGAGGCGAGGTTCCATCTGAAACTCTGATTGAAATGTGCTGAAAGCAAGCTGTCATTAGCTCCAACTGTAAAACTGCAATATTATAGAAAATCCAAATGCCCCCTTTGCGCCCATTAGCTTCAACTCGCAACACATTAGAGTAGCCTAGACGGTGGCACACCTTATCAGCGGTAGCTCCACTGACCTGCGGTTCCAAGAGAATGAGAATATCAGGATTATAAACTTGCCTAATGAACTTGAGAGAGCGGGAGGATTCTGCACTCTTCGCTCCCCCAATGTTCCAAGAGAGAACTTTACAACGAGGAAAAGACTGATTCACAGGGAAAAAATAAAAGAGAAAAGAGAGGGAGGGAGGGTAAGAAGAAATCAGATCGCCGATGGGGGAGGGGTGCATCAAAGGGTCGCCGCCAAACCCTCTCTCGTCCCCATCGTCTTGTCCTCTATGTTGCCCGAATCGAAAGCATCTTCCTGTCCTTCCGTCTGTCTAGAAGTCCAGGATTCGATTTCCCGGAGGGTGAGCAACGCTGCTGCAGTCGTGGTTTTGGGTTTCCTTCTCTTAATCTTCATCGACGTCCCAATATGTAGGGCTTTGGATGAAGAAGTGATCATAGTTCCCTGTTTTCTCTGAGGGGATCTGTGCTTCTTTTGGTTTTTAGTTCTCGTTGTCGCCGATGGGAAATTTGGGTTGGGTTGACAAGGGGGTTTGGTTTAGGAGGCAAGGCCTCAATAACTTGAATAGTCGTTGTCTACGGCCCATCGAAAACTTTGGTAATGGGTGGGCCTTGAGCTGTCGTGCTTGTCATGGGCCTCGGCCCAGCAGAAGAAGATTCACCCCTTGTTTGGGTAGAGGAGGAGGTCCACCTCTCTGTTTCTGCTCCATATTACCAGTCTCAGTACCTGGCTGAGCCCCCAAGATTCCCTTAGTCTCCTTCCCCAAAGATGGAAATTTCTCATTTACTCTTTCCATGTCTCCAACTTTCTTTCCTTGTCCCTGGACAATCTGTTCCTTTCTCTGAGTTGGTGAGTTCCTTGTTTCGATTCACGATCCTTGCGGGATCCTGCCATTTCCCCCGCTAATCCACCATTTGACTTTCCTTTATTCGGGGAGAATCCTTTGTACCGTTGGGAGCCCCAACCCTGTATGATCCCTTGTTCCCTCGCTGTGATTTTCGTGAGACCTGCATCCACGGCCCATAGCCCGCTTTTTTGTCTACATCTGCCGTCGGAGTGGAGGCGGACGCCGGCGTCAGCGCCACCGTGCCATTGTCAGTCTGTTGTATGTTTGGGCGGATTGTTGAACAACTAGTGGACGTATGACCTACTTTTCCACGTTCGAAGCACACGGCCGAAAGATTTTCATATTCCACATATTGACATGCCCCATCTAGCCAGATACGAGGAACTAGGGGTTTCGATAAATCCACGTCCACTGCCACACGTGCAAACTTGGCTCGTTCTTGATGTTGAGTGTGGTAATCCAACTTTACCGTTCTTTCCAGCATATTACCCAAAGATAACAAGATCTCTTAATGGTAGAAATGAATTGGGAGAGCTGAAAACTGCACCCACACCACCATTGATTTGGGAAGCTTGTCGTGGAGTCGAAAATTAGGGGTTCATTGTTGGACTACTAGGTAGTGGTCGAAAATGGTCCAAGGACCATCTGTCAAAGCGCGAAGGTAGTCGTCCTCTTTGTTAGCAGGAAGCAATCCCGCCCGAGCCCCCAGATTTCCATTTCTCCAGTTGGTCTCCATTGGGCACGGATCCTCTGTTTGAATGTGGTAAAGGATGCTTTCAATCCCAGTGAACGAACCACGAACCTTTGCCAGGGCAGGGACAACCTCGATCTGAGCCCATCTGACACCACCAGAGATGACTCCCCTTCGTGTGTTCCTTGTGTGAGGTCTTGAGTTCGATTGGTGTCCATGCCACAAGGTTGTCACATCGGTCTTTGATCCTTCCTGTAACGCACTGGCGTACGAGGACGCTGCTTGTTCATCGGTGGCGCTAGTGGCCACTTGGGTCATGGCCATAACCATTGCTCCTTTGCCTGTCAGTATGGTATTTGCCAACGGTGGAAAAGAGAAGGTCGGCGGGACAGTCCCCGTATCCCTCATGATCATCTCTCCTGCACCAGGAGAGTCTGGCGGTGGGGATGAGAACGACCGTCGGAGGGTTCATGTCGATTTCCATAGAGGAGAGAGAACTAAGCTTTTTTTTTTCAATTCGGCTACCACTTGTTTCTTTTACATAATGACACTAATTAATTACCCAAATTAACTTATAGTTATAACACATAAAAAATGGGCGGTTAGTATAAACGGTCACAAACCTTTGCACTTAATACAAAATAGTCACAAGCCTTTAATTTGTAATGATATGTTAAAACAGGTTTGAGCATATACCAAAATGGTCATCTAGTTCTTCTCCGTGCAAAAATATATTAGTTTTGTACAAACGACCTAAGCCACCTAGACTCAACCCATCCCCTCTGTTGAAACATGCAACACTATGGTTACGAAACTCTCTAGTTCGTAACAAAATGTTCATACAGTCTCATTTCTGCTCATCGGAGCTCTTCCAATCACTTAACAACTAGTGAATACAAAGGTAGGCTGAAGACATTATCTTTACAAGCTATGGCGAGTATACAACTCCAAGGGAGTTAACCCACACACAAAAGTACATACTTTATGTGGATGCATCAATTTACTCCAAAAGTTCCCTAATTTCCAAATTAAACCTTTCATGGACCTGCAACAGGAAATCATATAAACAAAGAAACGAGAGGCTTGAAATGGTAAGACTTACAAGGACTAGACCATGAAAAACAGCTTCAAGTCACATGATTAAGAACATTCTAGGGCGGAGCCAGGATTTCGACACCGTGTGGGACGAAAATAATTAGATGTAAATAAAAATAAAATAATTAGTTATAATTATTTTAAAAGTATACAATGTTCTTTGAAATCATTAAAAAATCACTCAAAATAGCATCTAAACTAAATGTTTTTGTTATCTTTCTTTCAATATAGTCTTAAAATCATTAAAATCACTCAAAATAAAATAAAATGTTAGGTAGTGGTAAATTGAACCTGGGTGCTTTAGACTAATAACTAAAGTAGCTACCAGTGGACTACATGATAGTTATATGAACTAATATTCTGGCCGAGTCCTACTTATTCAAATTTTATCTAAATATCTTTAAGGTCTTAGGGGCCTGAACTATTCCTGGAGTTGTCGGGGCCCACCCTACCCTCTAAGTAGCTCCGCCCGTGAGAACATCCAGACAATGGCAGCAGTGATTGGAAGAGCTCCGATGTGCAAAAATGCGATTGTCTAACAATTTTGTTATGAACTATAAAGTTATGTGACCATCGTGTTACATGTTTTAAAAGAGGATGTGGGTTAAGTTCAGGTGGGTTGGGTTGTTTGGTTAAATAAATTTTTTATTAATAATTTTGGTGATGTGGAGTGCTAACTGGACAAAACTAACATATTTTTGGATGTAGAATGACAAAATAACCGTTTTGTGTATGCTCAAATATGTGTTACGTATAGTTAATAAGAGTTTTGGTAGGCCATAAGAGTGGGTGGCAAGTGGCAACCGGTAGCTGTTGGATTTTCGGGGGAGGATGAAGAGGGTGATTTTTTGTTTTTCCACATTGTATTTGTTATATTCTAACAATAAAGAAGTAATCTTTAACTTTTGAAATAAAACAATTTAAGTAAAAACTAGAGCGGTATGTTTAACAACCCTATTTTTTCCATCCATTTTTATAAAATTTTATTAACTAATTTCAGCATCTCATTAATCACTCAATATTTTACCGCTGGTAAAATTAAATTGTTTCTATAATATATTTTAATAATAGGATGTGACATTTTCCCCCCACATTTACGTCATAGAACTCGTTTAATGCTTTTTAGTTTCTTTCTCTTTCCCTTACTTTCATGTGAAGCAGTGACGACGTCTCCGCCTGCGCAAAACATAGCATGCCATTATGTCGACATAAACAGTCTTCTCCTCAGAGAGAAACAAATACCCATCACTATATCTATCTATATATAAACTCAAAAACCACAGCACTACGCAAAACCCACAAATAGAAAAGAAAAAAAGAAAAAAAAAGCCTAAAATTTCCCCGCTCCACGGAAACACTCCGTCCCGTCCACAAATGGATCAACGGCGCAATTTCTCGTTCTCCTCTCTCCTTCTACTTCTTCTTCTTCTACTCCTATCGTCGGCAGTAGTCTTGGGAGAGTGCGAGGCTGACGATAATTCCGACCGCGACCGTGCGACGGCGCTGAAGTACAAGCTGGTAGCACTCGCGTCGATTCTGCTGGCCGGAACGATCGGAGTGTGCCTCCCGGTGGTCGCCCAGAAAAAGATTCCGGCCTTGCACCCGGACAAGAACGTGTTCTTCCTCGTGAAGGCCTTCGCCGCCGGGGTCATCCTTTCCACGGGATTCATCCACGTGTTCCCCGACGCGTTCGAGAGTTTGACCTCGCCCTGTCTCCCCGAGAAACCCTGGGGCGATTTCCCGTTCGCCGGATTTATCGCCATGGTGGCCGCGATGGGGACTCTGGCGATCGATTCCTTTGCGACTTCGTATTACACGCGGGCACACGGTAAAAATTGTATGGATGGGAAGGACGGCGGCGGCGGCGGCGATCTTGAGGCGACGGATGGTGGCGGCGGCGGCGGTGGTCACGTGCACGTGCATACGCATGCGACTCACGGCCATTCTCACGGCGCTATTTCGGCGGGGTCGAGTTCTGATGAGGCCCAACTCACTCGCCACCGCGTCATCTCGCAGGTAATTAATTAGTAACTAATTCTGATTTTTTTATAGTATAGCTTATTTTGATTTGCTTATAATTATATGATCAACTAATAATTATTATATGATCAATAAAATTGTTGTTAGTTTGGCTGGATAAACTTTTTATTTTTAAGAATGTTGACCAAATTAGTAGTTGAATAGTGTTAATTAGGTCGGGCTGATCTCATTATTTTAAGATGAATGAATAAAGCTTTTGTATACATCGATGAGACGGTACATAATAGTCTCCTAGTTTGACATTATTTTTAAAATGATTGTTCCAAATTCATATTTTATGCTGTTTTTTTTTATTTTTATAAAAATTAATGTTGTTTTTATTTATTTGTGTGTTGACTATGGTGTTAGGTTTTGGAGGTTGGCATCGTCGTGCACTCAGTGATAATCGGCATTTCGTTGGGCGCATCGGAGAGTCCCAAGACAATAAGACCTTTGATTGCCGCCCTGACGTTCCATCAATTCTTTGAAGGAATGGGGCTTGGAGGCTGCATTGCTCAGGTATTTCATTTATTTATAACCAAATTCCTAGTTTCATTTTCACTTTCGCTGTTGTAATTTTGAAGCTACTCCGCTATATATATATTGTCCTCCATTATTACTTTATAATAATAAATCTGTCACATGATAAAGTAAGTGAATCATCATACTTGTTATATGTTAAGGGCGTCGAAGTACGAATGACAATGAGATGCGTTTAAGGCACCTCGATAACTAACGCTTTGGATTTTATTCGAAAATTCAAGTAATTGTGCTAAACCGAGCCCATAATTTCCCCCCAATTTTTGCAGGCGAAATTCAAGGCCAGAGTTGTGGCATGGATGTCTGTCTTCTTTTCACTCACAACTCCACTGGGAATCGCAATTGGATTCGGCATATCCAACGTGTACAAGGAGAATAGTCCAACTGCTTTGATAATGGAAGGAGTGTTCAATGCAGCATCATCTGGAATCTTGATATACATGGCACTTGTGGATATGCTCGCAGCTGACTTCATGAACCCAAAAGTGCAAGCCAGTGGACGACTTCAAATCGGAGTGCAAATTTCCCTTCTTTTAGGTTCTGGCTTTATGTCCCTACTTGCAAAATGGGCTTAAATTTCCATTAAACTTCTGTAGGTTTTTTTGTTTTGTTTTGGGGTATTATATCCTTTCTCTTCTACTTCATTGCAATATAATTTGAAATGAAAACTTCATAGAATTGTTCCGTTTCACGATAGCACATTGTAAATAAACAAAAAAAGAATCGATTTTTATCTCGCTCTCTGCCATTTAGATTATAGAAATGGATTAGATCCTGCCATGTTATTTGAGTTTTTAATCAATGATCACAAGTTTGTGTCTTCTAAATGTTCTAGTTTGTTTACCTAGCTAGCAGAGGAAACTAATAATTAGTTGAGTGTTTCCAAGATGGATGCCTTTCAGAATGGGTGGGGATTTTGAGTGTTTCCAAGAGGCTTGGTGGAAGCCGACGAGATGGGCAAAGTACCAACGACTTGGATGGTCGGTTACTTGGGCATTAGGTTTTCGTTATATCAAGGTGGGTAGCAACGAATCTCTAAGTATGTGTCACTGGGGCTGTTAATGGTGTGATCGAGAGACTTCATCTTTGAGGCAAGGCTGCTAGATTTGAGTGAAGTTCAACTCAACATTAAACCGGACCAATAATGAGGATAACAAGTCAAAACTAACTAGTCACCAAGGTGATAAGGAACCCCCGAGGTCGTTAAAGCAGTCATTGATAAAGTAGTTCCCTAAGGGTTACATCTGATTGCTATAAATAGGAAAAATAAAAACGTAATAAAAGTTCCCAAAATCAACATTTTACACCACATGTCAAAATTGTACCTTTTCTATGCAAATTAAAGTAACATAAAGAGTTCTAGTTTATGGAACTCTTTCTAAGAACATCTCCAACAATGAAATTCATTTGCAATTTCATAGGTGGTCCCAACTTTCATTTATGCAACTTTTAGAAAATAAAATTTCTAAATTTCACCCTCCCTACATCAATGCAATCCAATTGCAATTTCAGTGGGTGGGATCAACACATTAACTTAACGGGACGTTTGGATGCAGTATTTTGATGAGATAATTTGGTCGAAATAACTCAGAATGAGGTATGTCAATCAAAATAACTCTTATGGCAAAAATAAAGTAGAATGTGATATTTTGTCCATGAGTCAATTGAAATAATTCATTGTGAGTTATTTGAAATACCTACCCAGCCCCTAGTTATTTCAAATACCTCATCTCCCAACTTCTTTTTCACTACAAAAAAAAAAGTGGTTCCAACGAGAGGAAAAAACGGTCGTTAAAAGACCAAAAACCCTCGTTATAAGTCAATAACGATGGTAAACCTCCTGTCATAGTAGGCTTCGCCGTTAAAAGCCATTAATGAGGGGACTTTTAAAACCCCATCGTTAAAACTTTCTACGAGGGATAACTTTTACTCTCGTTGATGTTGACAATTGATATAAAAATTATAAACAAAAAACTGTGGGACCTCCATCGTTAGTTTGCAATTAACCATCCCAAATTGGATTAATTATTAATTGATAAATCTCAAATTTTATCATCACCAATTCACCATGATTCACCTGGATTACGCAACCTCTAAGAAAATAACCAAATCTTCCAAAACTGATTTCATAAGGGCTAAACACGATTACAATTGCAAATATTCAGTCATTCAAATACAATCATAATCATTCATCGTTCAAGCAAAGAACAAGGAAAAAGTAGAACCAAAACATAGTATTCCGTTTAAGCTATTATACATGATTATAGCTTCAAAAAGCCTTTTCCTCTGAAGCTCGCATTTATCAACCAATCTACTCCTTTCGCAGTGACCTCGTGGCCTTGCTCTTTGTTATTTCCATTGGGAGCGTTGTTGTCAATTCATTGAATGGAGGGCGGCAGAGGAAGACCTCGCGATAAAGAGGATCGAGAACGGAGGAGCGGCAACGATCTTGGAGAAGGAGGGACACCAGGGGGTCAGATTAGGGCCTGGCAATATAGATCTGGCGGAGCTAGGGACTGAAATAGAGAGTTCAATACTCTGGTTTTCAAATATGGAGATTTAGATAGATCTAGAATCAAGGAGGAGTTTTCAGTAGATGTGTGTTGGAAAGATCTAGAGATAAGTAGATATGAAGAGGCCTGAAGCATGGTTTGGCCATTGAAGGATGTGGGCAGATCTGAAAAGACAAGAGCTTCGCCAGGGGAAGAGGCAGAGAGAGGTGAGGGCCTGGATAAGGAGAAGAGAATATATTTTTTATATGATTTTGTGGCTGAGAATGAAGGTAAAGGGTGTAATTATTTTATTAATAAAGCCATAGAGGAAAAATGTAGAGATTGCCGCTAAAACCATGATTGGAGGGATCTGAAATTTTCAAACCAAAAAGTAGGCGCACTAAAAATTTAAAAACTTTGCCCAACTAACAAGTGGATTTTTACGGTCCTGATATAACAGTGGGGGAGGGAAATCATTATGAATCGCTATTTGCCGCCCGTACTTTTACTATTTGCCGTTCGTAGTTACAAAAAATTGGACAATTTTGCCCCTTCTCCATTTCAAAAACCCTAAACCTATCAATTCCCTAACCCAACTCTCCCAACCTTCCGCCTCCACCCTCCAACCATTGTCGTCGGCCACTGCAACCTCCTTGCCGGATCAGAGATGGTGGTCGTCACCGGGCACAGAGATGGATGGTCAGGCGCCTGCAATCGGACAAGGTCCGCCCACCGACGACGGACGGGGTCCGCCCACTCGCGACGGACGGGGTTCGCTCGCTCTCGTCGGACGGGGTCCGCCCTCCCGCGTCGGACGGGGTCCGCCCTCCCGCGTCGGACGGGGTCCGCCCTCCAACGTCGGACCGGTACCTGGCGTACGTTTCCCGGCGGCGGACTTGTCGCCGGTGACTTTTTCTTTCCCAAAAATTGATTAATGATTATGGATTCATAATTAATATTTAGTTTTTAAATATTGTTTTAAATTATTACTAAATACCAAAATTCTTTAATTAACCCACTAATTCATCCGTTTCCGCAATTAACAACCATTGATAATAAGGAAATAAGTAACACGTCTTTCCCTAATTGACAACCGTAAAAAAGATTCCTTGATTATTAACACGTATTATTCTATAACCCACATCCAATGTCATTTCCATTAATAAAAAAAATCTAATGTCATTTCCTTAATTGACATCGAAAAAAAAAATCTTAACTAACATGTCCTACTCCATGACTCACGTCTAATTTCATCTCTCCAATTAACAATAGGAAAAAATTCTCTTAATTAACACTACTAAGGACGAAAAAAAGGAGATTTTGTATTATTAATGACAATCCAAACATTTTCCTTAATGAAACCATACGTGGGTAGTGGTTCAAATTTCACCACTAATTTTAACGAGATTAAGGTTTGATTAGAGTTGCACCAACCCGACCCAAGATGACAAATAACAAAATGAAAAATCAACTCGACTCAATCGGATCAACGATGAGAGTAAGAAAAAAGGAAAACATCTCTTCTCCCTCTTACACCTTCTACCATTCCCAAACCCTAGACCTTCATTTTCACCAAATAGTTACCTTCAATCTCAATCCATCCAATCCTACTACAACATTGTTTTAGAGGCAAAATCTTCTCTACCTCCTCTAACAACAATCATTCGCGTCGTCGAAATACGTGTGATAGGCTCAAGAAACTGGTCATTACGATCCCTGAACTCCTAAAAAACCTCGATAAAAGTTTTGACACTATTCGTCATTTTTTGTCCGAGCGTCCAATTGAGAAACGGTTGATTCCATCATGTTCGTATCCATAAATTTATTTAGTACGAAATTTGATATTTACCACAACATAAATATATAATTATCAATCAAACTAATTTAATATTATGTTAATATTTATCACTATTTTGTACCATAATTTAAAATTAAATAACTACAATAAGAGAATAAGAGACATTTTGCAGTCCTTGTTCGTATCAATAAGAGAATTTTTTTTTATGTAGTTAGTTAATTAGGTAAATGTTCGTATCCACAATTCATCATTGATTAGGATTTTTTTTGTAAAAAATTAAAATAGTTTATCGTGGGTTTTCCCCGGTAATTTCGTGGGTTTATTTTAAATAATTATAACTATCCGAAATTTAGAGATCCAATCGTCTAGCACTATTCATCATTTTTTTACCAAATTCACCATTAATTAGCTGATTTCCCGTAGCCACCATTAATTAGTTGATTTGTTTTATATTAAATAACAATAACTCTCACGTCATTCTCTCACCATATCGGAATCCGAATTCCGAAAATTACTCCTTAACCCACTCCAAGTTTATTTCCCACGTCCCTACCAATAAAAATGACAGTTACCAATGTTTAACACTTATTACGTTAAACTAATTAATTGAATAGACAATAGACTAAAATGAATTAAATAAACAGAAGAAAAAAAACCAAAAGCTCCATAGCAGCCTTAGGTTGCCGCCGCTGGGAAGGAAATCGCCGCCGGCGTCGAGGAATGAGCTCGTTTTCAAGATCAGCCTTCTTTTTCCCCTTTTTTTTTTACTCCGTCCGCCGGCCGTGGTCGGACGGGGTCCGCCGGCCGTGGTCGGACGGGGTCCGCCGGCCGTGGTCGGACGGGGTCCTCCCGGTCGTGGCAGGATCTGGCGGCGGTGGCAACGGTGGTCTGATACCGACGGCGGTGGTGGTCTGCAGGTTGTGGTGGTGGATGAGGATTTGTGCTTTCAAAAAATTGATGAGGGTAAAAATGACATTTTTACTAAAATTATGGGCGGCAAATAGTAAAAGGTCGGGCGGCAAATAACAACCCTCAAATCATTTAACAGCAGCGAGGGGGAAATAAGCCCTCGTTAAAGACTATACTTTTGTACCAATAACGACAGGAATAACGTGAGAATTAAAAGCTTACTTCTAACGAGGGGATATCAATCCGCCTGCCCCATCCCGGTCGTAGAAACTCATTTCTTTTGTAGTGTTTCCACTTCATCTCTTCTTTAAGTGGTGAAATACCACAATATTTGAATGTTTTATCCAAACAAGACAATTACACCAATTACCACATTCCAAAATGAAATACCACATGAAATGCCACATAGCAAAATAATGCATCATTTGGATTCGAAATACCATAGAACCAAAATGATGCATCCAAACGACCCTATTAGTACTAAACCATTTATATACTATCTCTATCATTTTAAACTATTAAAGTATATAATAAAGGATAAAAGGGTCCACCAGCGGGCCACTTTGAATTGCAACAAAGCAAATTTACATCCTTGCAATTGCTCCCCACATCAATGTCATTCAAAGTTGCAATTGCAATACCTTGCCACATCAACTTGCAATTCTCTAGAATTACACCATTGGATATGCTCTAAACCTTCATAACAGGATATATAATTTAATATATTTTGTTCCAAATATCATATCAAACATCTATATGTGTTCGAACTGTGTTCGAAGAGGTATGTATCGCGTTTAAAATTGTTATTCAATAGGTCATAAGTACAATTATATTAAATTTACACAAAATATTTTTTCTTATCGAAAATCATGATCACCTCTCTTTCAAATCCGATAAATAGAGACAGAAACACAAATCTAAGCAGCAACAGAAATCCAAGCGGGTGATGCAAGATCCAAATGATTACCTGCCAAAAGCTGTTAATTAATAATACTAATCATCATTCTCAAGGGACTTCCAAACCAACTCCCTCGTCATGATACATGCAATTAATACTGGGCTCAGCAGACACCAATTATTCATTGTTGTACACCATGGAATTAGCGTATGGTAATGGTATAGCTGTGGCCTGTGATAACTAATACGAACATGATCTTGACCTTTTCGAAGCATCGATCTTGACAATTTCGTCTCCAGACCCAAACAAATGGGATAGTGGGAACGCGTTAAGGTGTTACTGGAATTCTAGTTGCCATCGTGGGTATACTAGTATCCACCATTTATTTTTTACTTTTTTCTATTTTTTTAATCTCACAATTAAAATTGTTTCAGGGCAATTTTGGAAAAAAACATAAAACTACACCTGAATATATATAATCTACCCTAACCCTAATTATACTCTCTAGCTTCATCCAAGCCCCCCGCAAGTTCTCCCTCCTCCCTCTGCCCCATCCCAATCCCGGCCGCCGTCCTCATCTCCAACTTCCACCTCCTGCCGCCGCCGCCGCCGTCCCCATCTCAAACTTCCTCCCTACCCTCTCTCTCCCCTCCCCCATCCCTCCTCCTCACCCCACCCCCATTCCCCCTCTCCTGCAAAACCCACTCCACCCACAACCCCCCGCCTCTTCATCCCCATCTATCTCTCCTGCAAATGACGGCTAGGAAACATATAGAAATTGGGGGAATTGACTAGAGAATATAGGACTAGATGGTTGCTTTGAAGGTTTCACTCACTCCCCTCGCAATGTCTCTCACACAGGCGGCTGGAAAATGTGGGATGAATAAAATCCCTAGATCTGATTTTTTCCGCATTGGTAGTTATTTTTTCGTAGTGGTAGTATTTTTTTGCATTTGTATTGTTTTTGTCGTATTAGTATTAATTTGCATGTATTGGTATTGATTAAAACTGCAATGATATAGATTTTTTGTGAAATGATATAGATTTATATTGGTAGTTTTCGTGTAATGGTATATATTTATTTTTGCAATGATATTGATATTTTTCAAAGTGGTAGTGGTTGTCTAATGGGTTGGTAGTGATTTCGTGTTTTTTTTCCCTTTTGCAGAAAGATTGAGAAAAATAAGGAAAGATGATCTGACTGGAGATTATGGAATTGAGAGAAAGAGATAGAATTATAATTAATAGATTCTTGTAACTACCTAAAATGTAATTTATTAAAAATTAATTAATACAATTTATTTTTCATACCCAATTTACCCTTAGTAACCACGGTGATTACTAACCCTAACCTGTCCCACGGTAATTAAAAAAATTGAGATGGCAACAAAAACATATAAACGCAATTATATTTGCAATTGCATTGATTTGTTTATCATGTTAACTCACAATGCAGGGGCCATTTTGAACAGTAATATAAGTAGAGAGGCTAGATTTGTTAAGGTGAGATACTGCAGGGACTTGATTGATACGAATCATAGTACACGCACTTGTTCACTTAAAGGGCATAATTAGAGGGATTCAAACTGCTATTCACCAATAAACTTATTTGAGCGATCTCGGGTTAATTCCCTAAATATTTTTTTTTAATTTACCACGAATATTGTGTTTTTAAAAGTATTTACACCAATATTGTGTTTTTTGATATGTCTAAAGCGCCAAAGCCTTGGACTCAGGCGCCGCCGCTGGGTGATTTTTTAACAAAAAAACATAGCGGCCCCGCCCCAGACTGGGGCTTTGTCGCTTTATAGAAGGTAATAGCGACGGCGCCCCAGACTGGGGCTTTATCGCTGCCATTTTGTTCCACTCCTGCACCTCCCCTCACCATATATACTGCACCTTTCCTTCGGTTCTTCATCACCAAAAAACTGAAAGAAGTTCTGAAAAAAGCTCTGGTGTTGCTGTCTGGTTGCTGGGAAGATGGCTAATAACAGGTAAGAGGCGTAATTTTTTTTTCATGTATTCATCATAATGATTTTGTCTAGTTAGTAATGTAATTAGTGAGTTTGTTTTTTATGTAGTGATTTTAGAAGATTTGAACTAGCTGTTCGGTGGCGATCATAGAAAGTAGAAGACAATTTGGGTGTCCATTTTGTTGGTGGTCTTAGTTTCCAGATGACTATTCCATCCAGGGTGAACTATCAGAAACTTTGTGATCATCTAATTCGGAGAATACGGATTAGAGACGAAACAGTACAAGATAGTGTTGTGATTACAGGTTTCACCTACTGTCTTCCAGAATGGCAGAATGGTGTTTTATTTCATTATGCAATGCCTATTGTCGATGATGATAGCTTAAATGTGCTTTCGAATTTTATGGCACAAAATCTTTATTGTTTGGGTGCTGAGATACATGCTGAGCTCAGTGAGAATCGGGGTGGAGAGGAAGACGATGATGACACATGGAGCATGCCATCCGATCATGATTATGATGACGGTGATGACGGAGATGAGGAAGACGATGAGGAGGAGGAGGTGGAGGACGACGACGACGGGGAGGGAGGAGAACAACCTAATTTTCCTCCATATTTTTACTTGCAGGGTAATGAAGAGGACGAGGAATTATCATATGCTGATTCATATGGCGTAATTCCAGGGTCTACTGTTGGTGGTTTTGAAGGAGAATTCTACAAGGGGCAAATATTTCACTCGAAACAAGCTGCACAGGTGGCGATGAAACACTATGCACTACATCGCAACTTTCAGTATAACGTGGTGGAGTCGTCACCTTCAATCTGGAAGATCAGATGTTTGATGCACAAGGAGGACAAATGTCCTTGGATGGTGCGGTTTGGATGTCGAGAAATGGGAGGCGATTGGAGCGTGAGAAAGGTCGAGTTGGTGCATACTTGTAGCAGTACGACTCAACCAAAGGATCATCGCCATCTTGATGTCGACGTGATATCTGAGGCCGTCAAACACTTGGTACGTGCCCAACCAAATCTGAGTGTTCTAACTGTTCAGGCCGAGTTGAAAGATAAGTTTAATATGCAAGGTACTTACAAGAAGGCTTGGTATGGGAAACAAAGAGCATTGGAGAAGTTTCATGGAAATTGGGAAGAATCCTATGATTTTTTGCAAACATTCTTGCGGGTGGTCAAGAGAAAAATGCCAACATCGGTGATTCATTGGGTAAGAGTTCCTTCAACTCAACCAGGTCATTCAATATTTCAGCGAGTATTTTGGGCTTATGGACCGAGTATAGATGGATTCAAGAATTGTCCAGGCGTTATGGTTGTTGATGGAACATTTCTTACTGGGAAGTATAAAGGAGTGCTACTCATGGCTAGCTCATTTGATGGACGGAAGAAGATTTTTCCAATTGCATTTGCCATAGTGGAGAGTGAGAATACTGATAGTTGGACATGGTTCATAACTCACGTTCAGGGTTTGACTGATCGAAATGATGTATGCATCATCTCAGATAGACATGCAGGACTCTATGAAGCCATGAATAACATCGGAAGAGGTTGGGAGTGGAGGTGGTGCATGCGACACTATGCAAGCAATTTGCAAAGGAAGACTAAAAGCAGAATTATGTATAATCAACTATTTCGAGTCGGTAAGCTTTCTTCATATAATTTTGTTACTTGTTTTGATTTAATTTTGTCATGAATTTATCTAACCCGTGTGGTGGTTTATTTTATTTTGTTAGCCGGAGAAAAACGGTTGGAGAAGTTTGATCGTCAAGTTGAGCAATTTAAGAAGGTGGCCGCCGATAGAAATATTTCATGTGATAACTGGGTGGATCAACATCAGATTCGTTGGAGTTTAGCACACGATAACTACAATGGTGGGCGTCGTTGGTCTATCCTGACATCCAACATGGCAGAAAGCGTCAATGGTATTTTCAAAGGTATTCGTGCACTTCCTATAGCTTCTCTTGTGCAACATACCTATTGGCGATTGGTGGAGAAATTCGATAAGTACAGTTTGGAGACAGGAGCAGAAATTAGGAGTGGTCCTTCACAATTCTCCACCAAGTGCGAAGAGCTGATGAAGGCGTGGTCACAAAAGGCAGTTGGACATTCTGTGACAGCTCTTGATCGAGCTCAAGGCATCTATGTAGTTCAGACTCCTCCCAACAATTTCAACATGACGGGGTCAAACACACTCACAGTGCACTTTGATGACCCCAACCGGACGGGATTTTGCACCTGTGGGAAATTTCAAGGAAATAAAATTCCTTGCTCTCATGCCATTGCAGCTTGCAACCGAATGGGTGTTAATGCGTATAGGTTTGTCAACAATGTCTACAAGCTGGAAACAGTGATGGCTTGTTATGGGACAAGTTTCGCACCTCTTGGTGAACCTAAGGGTTGGAAGAAGCATAATGACCCTACTCTCCATCCTAATCTGGACATGATTAGAAAGCCGGGAAGGCCAAGATCAACACGAATTCACAACGAGATGGATTGGCCAAGGGAGGGTTCATCACAGCAAGTGTGTAGCAACTGTAACCAAGCGGGACATAATGCATCAACCTGTGGTCGCCAAGCAAGTGGGAGTGGGAGCAACCGAAGAGGGAGTGGTGGCCAACGAAGTGCGAGAGGTGGTAGAAGAGGAGGAAGTAGAGGGAATAGACATAGCTGAGAAGTTAGTTCGAATGTAGCAAGTTGTTGTTTTTCTTTCAATTTATCTCGCAGAAGTTGTTGTTGTTTGGAGTTGTTGTTTGGAGTTGTTGTTTGGAGTTGTTGTTGTTATTTGAAGAAGTTGTTGTTTGAAGTTGTTGTTATTTGAAGAAGTTGTTGTTTGAAGTTGTTATTTGGACTTTTATGAACTGAACTAGTTGTTGTTGTTTGCTGGTTTTATATTTAAAGTCTCAATTTAGACAATAGCACTAAGAACATAAGATTAAAAATAGTCCAAAATAAGTACATAACAATAAATAGTCTAAAGGAAGTACATAATAATAATGCATTGTCACAACGAACATAAAAATAGTCTCAATGAAGTACATAATTACATAACAATAAATAGTCCTCAACCATCACGCCGACCACCACGCCGACCACCACGACGACCACCGTGCTCTGCTACTAGATGGCCGCCAGTACCACACCTCGCTGGCCTCCTGTCTCGTGGAGGCAACTGCTCATCTCTCTCCGGCCCATCATCCTGATCCTGTGTGCCGAACAGATCATCTACTTGAGACTGAACATGCTCATCCGGTGCACCCTCTCGTCGCTGCTGCTCATATGCCCAATTAGATGTCTGGAAGACCTGACCCTGAAGCTGCTGATCGACACGCTCCCACTCATCGACGTCCAAATGCAGGTCTGTACTACCTGATCCCATGTGCCCGCCTCCCATCATAGTATGCTGGGGTGTGTGAAAGCTATCCTCCTGTGCCTGAAACTGAGGGCTAGAGGAACTGGTGCGTGCCTGAAATCCGGTAAAAGTAGGCCTGACTGGCTGGAATGTGAAAGTCGATGTAGGTCTGACGGGCAGACGATCAGAGTACCTCACTCCTCGAGGTACGTCACGCTGCTCACGTCGCTGTCTCCTCCTCCTGGGCTCCTCTGTGAACTGTGGCGGTGGCACGCCCCAGGCCGATGACTGAGTCCTACGCTCTGGCCAGATAGCTAAGCTGCGCTCATCGGGGTACCGCTGTATCGGCTCTGTATCAGTATGTTGGCGACCACTAAAACCTATAGCTGTAACCCCTGCCGCCAACTGGTCAACATAATCCTCCATCTGGTCGTATGTTAGCCCTCCTGATCTCATCCCATCACGTAAACCCTGCTGAACGGACTCCATGGAGTCGTACTGCAAATTTAAATGGAAAATATCAGAAATTCTATACATCTAAAAACAATTAAACACAAATTATAATTACTAAAAAAACTCACCGCTGCGTTCAGTGCAGCAACTCTCCGTGTGCCTGAACGTCTAGTGACATCTCTGTACCACTCTAGATGCTCCGAGTGGTAAGCTAATTCTTCGTCAGTGTAGCTCGTCTGCGCTACGAACTCATGTCGACGGTCCCACAGCTCAATCGACTCGCTGGCTGCCTGTATGAACTGCTGTCCACGTGAAGGCCCATGCTGTCCCTGACGAAGAAAAAATCTAATCTCAGCCGCGGAATGTGGAGGATGAGGCCGATCCTGTCTCATCCCAAACTGTCCGAGCACGCAATCTGGATGATGCCACATCTGCGATGAGAAGCAGATCAACGGAACAACTGCTCGAAACGTGTGGGACTGAACCACAGTACCGCTGTAGTCCACACCTCTATGATAGTACGGACGCCACTGCACACAAGGATTGGTCACATAATTACTCCTAAATCTATAACAAATCAATTAAAACTATTCTATAAAACGAAATGATATATACTAACCACGAATGTCGTGCACTCGTCAAACCACAACTTGTACAAGTAGAACTGATCTCCATGCTGACGGGTGTGGGCCGGAAGCCACCGAAGGCCACGTGGCACTGCGTCCTGAGTAATCTGCTCACCCGTCACCGCATGTAGTGGTGATGTATGAGGAAACCGCTCCCACGTCCAGATCATCAGCAAGGCGGCCCATCCACCAAAGTCACCACCCAGTGAAGAAGATGCCGTCATCTGCAGCGGCGATCTACCCATCTCACGGTACAAGTATGACAACACAGCTGCTCCCCAAGCAAACCTCCCCGCTCTGTGCCAATCCTCCACCAAAAGTAGGTACTGCAGGTGGACTGAACCTCCAGACCGATCGGAGAACAAGACACCTCCCATCAGAGACAGCGCATACGCTCTTGCAAACTGCTCTATCGTCTGGGGTGATGCAGAAAGCGGCAGCTCATCGAAAGTCTCCCGCAGCCAAGAAATCCGGATGACGCCGCCACCAAGATCAGTAGGAGCCTGTCCTAACAGTCGAAGACACATACCCGACCAGTCCTCGTCGGGTATGTCTACTACGACGGCATCACCATCGATCGCTAATCCGGTGAGTGTCGCAACATCCTCTAGGGTGATCGTCACCTCACCGAACGACATGTGAAATGTCGATGTCTCGGGTCGCCAACGCTCTACGAGCGCAGTAATCAAACCCGGATCACCGGTAAGAGGAGCTAGTGGCAGAACACTAGACAGGCCGGCATCAACGAGATACGGCAGGTACAGTGGACTGTATCGGACTAAATTTCCAGTATGACGAATGTGGAATGGTCGATCACCAGCCTATAATTAATGCACAAAACTATATTAATTCAATTCCTTCAATTCACCTAGTATTTATATTTATATATCTAAACTAAACTTTTTCTAATATATAATATAATCGTAACTTAATCTAATTCTATTCCTAATTTAATTTAATTACAATCGTAATTTAATTTAATTTAATTCTATTCTATCATATTATTCAGCTAATAAAACTATAGAAATAGTTTGAAAAAACTTACCTCATTTGCCCAAACAGCGTCGATTCGATGGTGACCATGCCCCCAAAGAAGTTCTGGTTCCATCGGTGCTGTATCGATCTTCGCAGGTGGTGGTCTCATCGAACAAGGATCGATAAGCCTAGGAACTGGAAAAAAAATGTTAGAACATAAAAACAAATATATTAGAACATAAAAAAAATATTAGAACTGGAAAAAGCCGTCGCCGGCGAGATTCCGGCCGCCGCCGGCGAGAACATACTCCTGTATCGTTGGCCGCCGCCGCCGTCACCGTCGCCGCCACGCCGGCCTCGCCGGCCTCGGCCTCTTCCTCTGCCGCCGGGGGCTTCTTGCTCGCCGTCGGACATCCTGGGTCGCCGCGCTGCCGCTCTCTTCGTCGCGCCGCCGCTCTCTTCGCCGCATCGCCGCCTGGGTCTGAGGCGCTGCCGCCAACTGCTGGGCTTCGACGCTCGGTTGTTGGCGTCGGATGAGAGGAGGTGAGGGAAAGGGAAGGGATGAAATGGGTGGGGGTGTCTGGTGTTGGACGAGGGAGGAATTAAAAAACAAAGGAAAGCAGCGTGGGCGCCCCAGTCTATGGCGCTGCCGCAATTTGAAATTTTCAAAAATTTCAAATTGCGCCAGCGCCGTAGACTGGGGCGCCCCCGCTGGCTTCAGCTTAAAAATCTCTATTTGCTGAGTCTCGGGCGCCGTCACCAACTTTCCTCATAAAAACACAATATTGGTGTAAATATTTTTAAAAACACAATATTCGTGGTAAATTAAAAAAAAAACAATATTTAGGGAATTAACCCAGCGATCTCCGACTGTTGAGATCCGATTATCCGAATTGATTTGAAAAAAAAAGTAAAAAACCCGATCGTCACCACTCCCGGGTCCCATCTGAAACGGATTTCTGGATATCCACCCGTTACGACGTCGGTGCACCCACCTGGCCCGCATCCATGATCCACCAACCCGTCATCCACTTCGCCGAAGCTCCAACGATCCAGAAATTTCGCCGATCATCCTAACCACTTTCCCTCTCTCTCGACAAACCCTGATCCCAATTTCCCAATTCCATCTTCCACGATTCCGCAATCCGATGGCAGAAACTAACAATCCAGCTGAATTGCCGGCCGAATGCTGGGAATCGATTATGAATTCCCTCGATCAGAATCGAAGCTTCGAGTCCCTCTCCCTCGTTTCCTCCCAATTCCTCTCCATCACCAATCACCTCCGCCGTTCCCTCACCATCACCTCCCGTACGTCCCCGTCGCTGTCCCTCCTTCTCCGGCGATTCCCGAATGTCACAGAGATCAAAGTCCGCGACTTTCACGGCGACCTCAACTCCCTCCTCTGCCGAATCTCGAAATCTCCGCTCGACCTCGAATCTCTTGACATCTCAGGTCACTGCTACTTCCCTTCCGAGGGGCTCGCCGCGTTGGGGAGTAGAATGAGGAATCTCAAGGAACTGAATTGCTCCAAGATCTCCGGGTTGCAGAACGCCGATCTGGTTGTGATTGGGAAATTGTTTCCTTTCCTTCAGGATCTCGACATCAGCTTCCCTCAGTACAGCTCGCGCTTCAATCCTAATGGGTCGTTGGATTTGCAGTCGTTTATGACGTTCGTGACCGACGAAGGGATCGCTGATTTGTCATCGAAGCTGATCGACCTGCGGCGGATCGACATTTCCGGTAACCAGTTCATTACTGATAAATCGGTTTTGTCTTTGTCGTTGAATTGCTCCTTGTTGAGCGAAATCGTGCTTCTTGATTGCGATTTCATAACCCAGGCTGGAATTGGGTTGGCTCTACGAAGTGCCGTGAACTTGAACTCTGTGGCGTTGGATGGAATTGGTATCCCTTCGCTGGATTCGTCCATGAAGGAATCGTTTGCCTACGCGAAGAACTTGGGCGCGCTTCATCTGTCCAACTCATTTATATCAGATGAATTGCTAAGTTTGGTTGCAGAAGCAAATCTTTCTCTGGAGAAGTTGTCAATCTCCCACTGCTATAATTTCAGTTCTGTTGGGGTTGAGTACTTGTTGCAGAGATATCAGTTCTTAGCATACTTGGATCTCGAAGGAGCAAATTTTCTCACCGATGAGTCCATGATTGAGTTCTCCAACTACCTTCCCAACTTGACATTCATAAACCTTGGCCTCTGTTCTAAGCTGACAGGGCTTACATTCTTTACCCTGATGAAAGCCTGCCCATTGCTCGAAGATGTAAGAATGGAGAGCACGAATATCGGGGTGGAAGAGTGCAATGAACTCGCGGTGAAGAAATCCAAAATCAAGACCCTGGATTTGGCTGGCAATAATAGCTTGAGTGATGAGTTTCTGAAAAGGGTTGCTTTAGGCTGTCCCAATTTGGAAATGCTTAACATCAGCTACTGCCCTAATATCACAGAAGATGGAGTTACTCAAGTTTTAAGCAAGTGCACTCGACTGAGGCACCTGGAGATTAGTCGTTGTTTTGGAATTAAAAGCCTTGTCATTGACTTCGATCTTCCTGAGTTGGAGATACTGAAAGCTCAAGGATCTGTTCTGGATAATGAAGCACTAGGAGTGATAGCAGAGAGCTGTCAGGCGCTGTTGCAATTAGACTTGGAATCTTGCTTAAGTGTGACAAAACAGGGCGTGGGTCGAGTGATGGAGCATTGCAAGAGGTTGAGGGAGATAAACCTGAGGAGTTGTGAGAATTTGGGGATTGATATTATTGCATTGATGGTGTTCACAAGGCCGTCACTTAGGAAAGTTGTTCCTCCTTGTGGGAGTATGTTTAGTGATCAGCAGAGAAACCTTTTCCGTAGACATGGATGTTCGGTTTCCGAAAGCTAGTCTCAGATCACCATTTTGTAGAAAGCTATCTATTTATTGATTGAGAAATTCTTGTGAATATGAATAATGAATTTCCTCTCTAATATACTGTTATCTTTGGCGTGTTTTCTTATTGGTTCTATGAGATTCAATGTTAGTCAGGCGATCATCGGGGTCGGGGATCTTTCTCTGGCTTCTGCTTTTGGTTGCATTAGTGTGCATTCATTGTTTGTGGGTACTGCAGCTGCATAAGGTAGCCAAGTTTGGTTCCTTGCCTTGCTCCCAGGACGGAACCTGGGGATTTCTGCTGACTCAGGATGCTAGACAACCCTGTTTCTGTAACTTGTTAATTGTTATGCTAGACAACCCTTCCACTGTCAGGCAATCTAGCTTCTAGATTCACTGTGATGGATGCCTTTAAGTTTTCTCCAGGAGGCGGCATATGAGGTGATGATGTTCATTTGCCATGGATTTCGATATGATCGGACAAGTTGATTGTGGTTTTATTGTACTTTGATTGGTTGTTTGCAAGAGAGGTTCATGATGATCTGTTTTCGGTCAAGGGTTTTGCTCTTTTTGGGTGGTTGCTTTCCAACTGTGTTTTGGTCTTTGCTACTGTATTTTGTCCTACATGGTTTTGTTTGTAACCGAATGCTCTTGGTCTTCCTCGAACCAAGTTCTTCCTCTTTGTAGCTGATAAGTTTTAAGTGCAATAAAGTTCCATCTGTAAAAAAAAAAAAAAAAAAAAAAAAAAAAAAAATAATCAAAGTTGAATGAGATACCAAATTTTCATCCAAACATTATAGAGCTTTGACTCATTTCTTCTACGGACACTTTCCGAATATTGATCATTACGATGTTACTAGTGTTAATCAAATATTTTCCTTTTAAAAGCCGAATATTAGTACTAGTTATTTTATGAGAGAAGAGAACACCTCTCCATAAAATTATGATGCTGCACCAATCGAACGTACGTATAGCCAATCTGGTTTAACCGCGAGGACTAAAAATGGATAGCAGCACAAAACATGAAGCATGCATGCGCATAGAAGCAGCCACCACCGGAACCAAAAGCGCATAATCCACGAAGCAGAGCAAGTAGCAGATAACTAGCTAGATCTAGGTAGTGCTGTTACCATAGCAAAAGGATACTTAGCTTTGAAGAAATTTAGCTAAAGCATATGAGGACGATGCCGAATAACATTTGTTTATTCTCTCCCATTAATATGACTTCATAATTTCTGTCTGCCAAAAGTCCTGCCTTAACTTGGTTTGAAGTTTCACATAAACGTACTTCTGCTTTGCAAAACTAGTTACAATCAGCGAACCTCGTTGCACCCAAAATGCACGGCTAGCTAGCTTCTCTATCGGCCTAAAAAATGATAGGCTGAAATTGGCTGCTGCTGCGGTAGCTTCTCGATCCTGGGAGAAGCAGACGGCGCCGTCTTGGTGGGAGCCCAGAGGTCCGCCCCATTGGTGCGATCAATAGCAGCCGTGGCGGCCACCGGAACAAGACAGAGCCCTCTGCCTCGCAGACCTGGACCTGGACCGGCGGCGGAGGCGGAGAGGAGATAGGGAGCGCTTAGCACCTTAAGCTGGTCGTGAAGGAAGGAGATGTAGTCCATGGCTTCCTGGAGAACCGAGGCCGTGTCGGTCTTGCCGTACGGAGAGACCAACTGCTGCAGAGCCACGATCTTCTCTCCCAGCTGCTTGTCTTTCCTGTCCCTGCTCATGGCGGCGTCGGGCTTCAGCCGCTTGGCCATTGAGGACGACGTCGGAGGAGGAGCGAGGAAGGAGGGTGGGCTCGGACGCTTGTCTTGCAGCATAGTGTGGAGCGGGTTCAAGTACTATAATTATAGACCGTAGTAAGAGCTAATTTGGTGTAGGCGAAGACAAGGGAAATGAAATGAGAAATGATTGATGGGATATGGCGAAGTTTAAAAAAGTGAAAGGAAGACGAGACGAGAAATTGTCCGCTTCCTAGCTAGGTAGCTAAGGATCAGCCACAGGAAAACAAAACCAAGCAAAGGCAAAGTAGAGGAGCTGGGAAGTCATTTCGGTAGGGACACAGTGCGGACAATTAGGCTAAGGGAGGTGGAGGTGGGTCCGGTTAATACGATGGTCATGGACGTAGGTGGAGACTAGAGTAATGAATAATTTCTTGACAATTGCTACATTTTACTTATAAAACTATTGGAATTGAGTAATGGAAAAGATAAATAGGAGCAAAGCAATAAAATTGATATTATTATTATTATTATTATTACTACGGCTTAATTGCAAGTTTGGTCACTTGAATTGCTATAAAATTTCACGTTTGCCACTCAAATTAATTTATTCCATTTATAGTCACTCTAATTAATTGAACAGTTCAACTTCGGTCACTCTCCGTTAACCTCCGTTAACTTTGACTGATGTGGCAGTCAACTCTGAGCGTTGACCGTTAAATGTGTGACGTGACAAATAAAAAATAATTAAAAAATAAAAATTAAATTTTTAGAAATTACACATCATTATAAAAAAAAATATAATTATAAAAAATGACCTCAGCACCTTGACCCGAAACATGGTCTGTACCAGAGAAAAACTCTGAATCTTGACCAAGATCCAATCCCATAATCAATCACAGAGAAAGAGATAGAGCATACCTTCTTACAGAACCAATGGAATCCGAGGGATGGAACCGGGTTGGGAAGTTTGGAGGTATCCTGTGCCGTCTTCCTTCGTTACTGCATTATCATGGACTCCGGACTTAATGAAGAATTACGGTATATACAGTAGAGTATGAGCCAAGACTTTCAGAAACTTACTCTGTGACGAAGGTTCCATGTTCGCTCCTGAGATCTGACAAGAAGAAGTAGCCATTTTTGTAGCTAATCTGTGCATGCTGTGTGGAGACCTAAAGATCGGGAAAGGGGAAGGGGTTGCAGTTAGCATTATACCTTCCATTTCTGCCACAATCGGACAGAGTGTGGTTAATAGCATTCAACTGATTACCTGAGGAGATCGTATGACTACAGATACTGATCTGCTCAACTGATCACTAGCATGTGATCAACAATCCCATTTGATAAGTTTTCATAATCCATGAAATTCAACATGACAAACAACAAATCACAGAACGCAGAAAAACAATCGAGAGAGCGAGACATACTCTGTCCGACAGTCTGCACGACGCCGACCTCCCTTCCAGCTTTGAACTGCAGAATGAAAAGTTCAGTTGCCGTCGTGAAAACCGACCCGTTCTTCAATTCCGGACCATTATTCCCGCTCGCCGTCGTGAAAACCGACCATTATTCTTCCCCATCTCCGGACAAACCCACACTTATTCCGGCATCGCACTTCCGTGAAAACTCACCGCCGCCCTCCACCGCCGACCAGTGGGACCCGCAAAGTTACAGCAACCGTCATCACCAAGAGATCAACGGACCAAGTCCTGCTCTGCCGAAGCTCATGTTCGCCGAGTGGCTATCTCTGGACAGTTTCGCCGCCACGTCGGCAGCGCCGTTGGTGGGTTGCAGCAATACTAAGGGGTTCGCCGGCGGGACTGCTGATTTCGGACCTGACATCAGCGGGTTGTTTGGAGGTGATAATAATAACGGTTTGTTTCATGGGTACCCGTTGTTTCAGCAGGGGACAAGCGGCGGGCAGAACTCGATGACGACGACGGTGAGTGATGGATCTGCCAGCGACGTTTTCTCGTCGCAGTTCAGCTTCGACGATCAGAGCTCGGTCGCCGACGCTAATAATTATCAGTTCGTCGAGTTCTGTAGCGAGTTATAGCTCAGCGGGAATGATGTCATGTACATATGAAAAAGGGAGCACACGGCCAATTCGGTGACGTTGGAAGTCCAATAAGTGGTCGGAGCGGCCGTTCAAGTTTTTGGATAATTTCTTTTTTTCATTTTTTATAATTATAATTTTTTTATAATGATGTGTAATTTCTAAAAATTTTATTTTTATTTTTTAATTAATTTTTATTTGCCACGTCACACATTCAACGGTCAACGGTCAGAGTTAACTGCCACGTCAGTCAAAGTTAATGGAGGTTAACGGAGAGTGAACGAACTTGAACTGTTCAACTAATTAGGATGACTATAAATGGAATAAATTAATTTGAGTGGCAAACGTGAAATTTTATAACAATTCGAGTGACCAAACTTGCAATTAGGCCTTATTATTACTCTTCAATTGTTACGAAAAAACCAGTGCTGTCAAAGCCAAACCGAGCCGGCCGGCCGGACCGCCAAAGCCGCCACCCGGCCATAAAACCGGCTCGGATCAGCTATTTAACCGCCACGGTTTTATACAACGGCCGGTGAGCGGCCGAAGTGGTTAACCGCTCGAGCCGCTCAAGCCGGTCGCGCGGTTCGTCCGTTTGGTTTACCCTAAAAAAAATAGAAAAGGCCACTCGTGGAATCGGCCGTCAACACCTCTTGTCCCGGCATCGGCGCTTCCCGACGGCATCGCCATCCTCAGTCGCCATCGCATCGCCATCGCCAGTCCTTGTTGTAGCAAGCAGCTCCCTCTCCCGGCGCTTCCATCCCGTCGCCACCGTCGCAAGCAGCTCCCCGCTAAGTTGCACTGTCTCACCAGAGGCTTGGATTGAATCCGAGCCATTTCGCAGATTGGGACGAGGAAGAGCATTTACGGGTTAAGAAAGGATGAGGAAGAATTGAATGTGGTGATGGATTTTTGAGGAATTACAGAAGGCTATAGTGGCTGAAAAATGAAAATAGGTGCGGCGGTGGGAGAGGAGGAAGGAGAGAGAGAGGGGGGATGGGGAAGCGGAAGGAAGGAGAGTGATGGGTGGGGAAGCGGCGCTGTCACTTAGGATTAGGTTAGGGTTTTTTTTAGTTGCTGTATATATATGTTGTGTAGAATTATTAAATGGTACCTGTAATCATCATTTTTACTCATTAAATCATTGAATTATTACTTTATGTGTGTTCTATTATGATATTATTTTGTTTATAATGTACCGGTTCTCAAACGGTTTTTAAACGGTCTAATGCCGGATGGACCACTAATGACCGAGTCGTTCACGTTACCGGGTCATACTCCGGCTCGGCTTTGACAGCATTGGAAAAAACAGTAAATTTTTTTAAGTTCGGGTATACTATTCCCAAGGTATTTTGTCTTGCATGTACCCAATTTCGCCATAAGCTCTTTGTTATTACTCTAAGATTTATAAAAATAATAAAATTTGCATAGCACTTTAATAAAATGTGATACTTTCTAATTTTATTATTACTCTTTCTTCTTAAATTTACCTTTTGGATTTGTAGTTGAATATATATATCCTCTGTTCTCGGCAACGGATTTACCAAAGATTATGAAATCATACAAATCTTATACCAGAAAATTTAATGATAAACTATTATGTAATATAACCGTGGCTTAATCGTAGTTAAACCATTTCATGCCTTTAAAGTCACAAATATTTTGCTATCTTGTACTTGACATTCCTACTCAGAATTGGTAATAGGGTATGGTCAGGGGCGGACCCCTGGGACACCGCTAAATTTTGGGAAAACGATTATCCAACACTCGGTGGTAATTTACGTATGGAAAAAAAATTATAATTGACAGTGAGGGACACCTCTGAATTTGAAAAATGATTGTCCTACTGTCATTTTTTAAATTTGTGTATGGAAATATAAGTGGTAGGTTAGGTAATTCAAATCTAGAAAACTATTATTATTAATAAACATAATTTTCATTAAGCTACAACTCATTTGTTGTTCGATTTTGAATACTGTGTAATAGTAAAATGTCATTCCCTATCTCTAATTATTTTCAAAACCTAAAAATTAATAAACTAATTTCAAGCTACCCTTAATCTGTATTGATTTTATTTTTGTACGACAAGTGTTGAAAGAGTTTTTCAGCTTTGGATTACATAAAAAATAAGTTTACAAATCGAATATGCGATCAGTTCGTGAATGATTGTTTAGTAGGGTATATAGAGATAATTTCTTTTAACACTATAGATACCAAGTGTATTCTACAATTATTTCTGAATATGAAAACACATCATGAACTTTTTTTTAACCTGTACGAGTATGGTATTTTTCTTATTTACGATTTTTTTATTTTTATTAATTATATTTTTATTTAATTTATTTTTTAAAAGATGACACCCTATATAAAATTCCTGGGTCCGCCACTGGGTATGGTTTCTAAACCATTGGATTTTACTGTGGAGAGTGATACAAATGTAGGGGTCGTTTGGAGAATCTGAGTTTAAATCTATAGATTGTCAACAATCTAAAGATTCTAACTCTTCGGATTGTTGAAAATAGATTTTAAATGTTTATTGTTTGGTAACTGTGATTGTTAACATTCATTTAATATAAAAATAGAATTTTTATATTAAATAACATGTTTATCCTTAATAAAAAAATTAGAGTAGTTTGAGAAATATTAAAAACTTTGTTAGTAAATATATTTAATATGATAAATAAATAAAAGAAAGTGAAAGGTAGGAGAAAAAAAATCACGAATCAAGATATAGAATCTCTATAATTATGAGAGATTTGATATCCATAAATTTTAGAGATTTGAAATCTCTAAAGCTAAAATCCACAATAAAAAAAAACATAACTTTCTACAAATCTACGGATTCAATGAATCTACACTCTAAATCCCGTTCTCCAAACGAACACGTAAAGCTAGGTAGTTTATAATCACGCTAGCAAAATCTCGTGCTCCGGGGAAGGACCGGTGGCCGGTACGGTGGTCCGTCTCTCTTAGGTTGGTAATGCAACGCCAACGACTAGTGGAAAGAAATGAAAAAGAATGGACTTTTGATGAAAATTAAGGACCCACGTAGAGATTCGATCTGAAATGTCTATTCTAAATTCTAATTGACAAACTAAAAACCGGAAACGCGTACTCTCCCGCCATTTCTGGCTCATCTTCTCCGACGATTGCGTTAATGGAAATATGGGTGTGTCGCTTGCTGACTTTCTGCCCTTCTCCTTCTCTGGAAGTTTCAGATATTCAATCCCACAAAACAATCCCTTACGTTCCCAGCATGCTTGCTAGTAAACTTGTTTATGAAAGAGTCCCTCACACGCTGCTCATTATAATATTTGTGAGCAGGCGTTTGAGATGTCGTGTTCTAGAAATAAAATTTGTTTATTTTTTTTAAATTTAATAAAATGAAATTATATTGAACTATTTCATGTAAAATTGTCTTGTAAATATAAATTTTAGAGTATGCTTATGTTCACTTGCTAGTAAGTCACCGAAACTTAGAGAATATGGTCTACCTATTCTGTTAAGTGGCCGACCACTTTCTAAGAAAATGGTCTACCACATTCAACAAATCGTCTACCTCTGCAACTAGTTGGTCGACCACTTGTCAAGAAAATGGTCTACCTCTTCAACCAAGTGGTTTACCGTTTGAGGCAACCGATCTATAGATACTGACAATAGGTCGACCTGATGACACACTTACCTTCAACTTACCCTTTCTTGCTGGAGGCGATAAACTACTTTCGCCAAATTACATCGCCGCTTAAGTCTATAAATGGAAGCACCTCAGTCTCAGAGCTGATTGATCATGGCACTCGATCTTGGCGCACTGATCTCCTACAATCCTATTTCAATCCTATGGACATAAATTACATCCTCAAAACCCCAATCCCAAGACAACCCGCCCAATAGGTGAAAGAGTTTGTGGAGTCTTGAGAGGAATGGAAGCTACACAGTGAGATCTGTCTATGAGGAATGGAGAATCAAACAGAATGAGCAGGAGGAAGAGGTTTATATCCCTGTGAACTAGTCAAGATTCTTGAAAATTCATATCCTACCAAAAGTGAAGGTATCCGGATGGCGATGGGTAAACAATTTCCTCCCAACGGGGAAGAATGTGGTGGATCGAATTCAAAAAGGTTGTGATGAGTGTCCGTTCTATGGATTAATTGAAACATGTGAGAATATTTTCAGGAATTGTGCTTGGGTGAGAAGCATTTGGCAACCTAGTAGACTAAGCAATATGTTCTCAAATGGTGAAGAACTTACCTGTGTATCATGGAATAGCTCTAGGAATCATAACCCGACGAGAAGTTTGGTGAGTTTCTTGTGGCCCTATGGTTTATCTGGGAAGAATGGAATAGTCGCCAGTGGAACAAGAAGAAAAAAGAGGAATTTGAGATAATGGGATCCTTCGGTGACGGCGCCCTACAAGATCAATGTCGATGCAGCTGTGTTGAAGGATCAAGGATCTAGTTGGATTATGGTGATTCGTGACATGCAAGGAGGTTTCTGTGGGGCGACAGTCAAAAGAACGTGAGTTAAATGGGCACCAGCAATGGCAGAGACTTTGGAGATTGGATATAGTTTGGAGCTGATGGAAAGACGGGGCATAAGGAAATGTGTATTGGAATCGGATTGCTTGTTCACAATCTCTCAGTTAAAGCAGAAGGAAATAGAGAAGGCAAAGGTTGGAGATCGTTGCAAAGAGCTCTTGGAGGTGGCAAGCAGAAATGGAAGGCCAATTGGGCCTATGCAGAACGAGAGAAAAATAAAGTGGCCCACCAGATGACCCACATTATGTGTGGATGGAAAGAAGAAGAAGTATGTGCTTCTAAGCCTCTAATTTTCCTTGTACCTCAATTGAGGATAGACATGTCAAGTACCCAGATTACTACTTAATAAAATTCCAGATGGTTATATAAAAAAAATATTAATTGAAGAAGCAATCTCAACCATTATATTAGCCTTTAAATCATTTATATAACAGCTAAATAATTTTTCCTACGAAAATTTATAAATGAGAGGGTAGGGTACAAAATCATATGATTCAAATCCAATACAAAATCCAATACTCCCATCATCCATCTCATTATCATTTAAGAGCCCAGAATAATTTTCAACAAAAAAATGAGAGGGGATAAAGGTAATTCTGCTCCATGCCTTTTTTTTGTGCTGACACTTTGACATGGATTTAGAGGAGAGAGAATATACTTTTCCTTTTTTTGGGTAGGAAATGGGGTGCTAAAAGGGCAACCTTGCCTGACACGTTATATTAATTGAGATTGGGCAATGCCCATAGCGTCATACATGATCCAGAAAGAAAGACCCGAATCAGAAAAATTAAATCTATGAATGCCTATGCTATGTTGCATTCCCTGTAGTCGGCCGCTTTGTTGTATTCCCTGTAGACATGTGTAAGCTGGACTTCCCATTCACGATCGAGAAGCTTCCTAAATTGTTGGGTGAGCTTATAATACCTTTGATCATCTTGACGAGTAGCAGTGAGGAGCTGTAAAGCCGCTGTTGAATCGAGACCAACCCTTTACTTTCTTATAGCCTTGATCTCAAGCAATGTTTAGACCCTCGATGGCCCCTTTGATCTCAGCCCGAGTGATTGTACAAGCTCCTAGATTGCGGTGAAGGTAGCCAAACAACACCCGAGATGATCCCTTATAAGTCAGCCAGTTGCCGCCATAGACCCACCCTTCCGGCAGCGACTGCCAAAATAGGTCATGCCTCACCTTAACTCCTGCCATATCTTTAGCCTGCATGTCACATTCCTAAGCTTGCCGGATATTTCTGGTCCAACTACGAATTGTTTGTGATAAAACCAGCACATCGAAAGGTTTCTTCTGAAAGATGGACTCATTCCTCTGCTTCCATAGGTACCATGCTGCAATGCTCACCAGCAAACCATCTTCTTCTGCACACAACTTTTGATTCAACCAATCTGCAAAAGGGAGAGCCACAGTTAATTGACTATCCATCAATCCAAGAGCTTGCCATACCTGAGTGGCCCGGGGCACCGCCATATCATGTGTTCTCCCGTCTCCGGACCCGAATTACAGAAGCAACAGCCGTCCTCGCAGTGAACTTCCTCTGTTTCCTTTCCACGTTTGTAAGCAACCGGTCATGGACAACCAACCATAAGAAATATTTGATCCTATTGGGACCATTCCATTTCCATATAAGTCTTTCCATATCAGCCTGCTGTACCCATATGCCACCTCCTCATCCTCATTTCTTAACCAATCCGCAACCACGCAATAAGCTGATTTGAGGCGAAAGCAGCCATACGCTTCCACACCCAAAGCAGTAATGTCCTCGCCCAATTCTGGATCCGGAGTATTCGTTCCTGCAATAAGCATAATTAAGTCATTAGGCAGATGTGGCTCAATGTCATTCCATCTCCACTCACCATCACCCGAAGTTAGCTCCGCCACCGAAGCCTCCCATCTGATCCCACTACCATCATATGGTATATGTTCAGCAAGGATGATGCCATCGGCAAGTCAAGGATTTGTCCAAAAGGTCACATTACGGCCGCTCCAGACATCCCAAATAAGATTCTGCTTCATCAAGGGCCAAGCCTCCATCATTCCTTTCCAAAGGAGTGAAGGCCTGCTATGCTTCATAATCATTCCATCAGTGGCTGTCGATTTGAAATATTTTCCTTAAAGCACTCTGACCCACAAGGCAGAGTCGTCATTCAAAAATGACCATGCTTACTTAATCATCTAAGCGAGATTCAAAGTACGATTTGACCGAAGTCCTAGACCACCTTCCTCTTTCGATTTACAAATAGTCTCCCTGGTCACAAGGTGGGTCTTCGGATTCCCTTGCTCAGTACCCCAAACAAAGAAGTAGATCTTCTTATCAATCGGGTCGCAGATCAAGACCGGGATGACAACAGTCTGCATTGCATAATTCGGTAAGGCATTCAGGATAGACATTGCTAGCGTCACTCTTCCGGCGAGAGACAAATTTCTCGCTTTCCACCCTGAAAGCCGCCTATCAATGTTCTCAATAATGAACTTATAGGTGTCCTTCGTCACTCGACCATGGATCACTGACACCCCAAGGTAACCCCCAAGATTATTTGTAACTTTCATCCCAAGCAGATCACTGATTCGTTTCTTTGCCGAGTCTTTAGTGTTCTTTGAGAAATAAACACATGATTTTTGCTTGTTGACTTGCTCTCCAGAGGCCGCGTAGAAAGTACCCAGGCATTGCGAGATCACTTTCCCTTGTTTGTAGTCAGCCTTAGCGAATAGAACCAAATCATCTGCAAAACATAAATGAGTTATTGGTACTCCTATTTGACCAAGCACAATTGGCTTTCAATTCCCAGCATCAATCTCTCCCTGTATGTAGTGATTCAGACGCTCAATACATAAAGTAAAAAGATAGGGCGAGAGTGGGCTTCTCTGTCTAAGGCCTCTGTGAAGGCTTGAAACTGTCTGTTAACCCTCTGTTCCAAAGCACTTGAAAATTGATCGTGGTAACGCAGGCCATGATCAGCTCCACAAACTCTCGGGGAAGACCTGCAGCATGAAGAGTCTGCTCCAAAAAGGCCGAATGGACACGGTCATACGCCTTAGCCAAGTCTATCTTTAGAACCATAAGGCCTTTAACACCAGTGTTTAACGACATGGAGTGGATCACCTCTTGAAGGATTATAATGTTGTCCGTGATATGGCGCTTCGGGATGAAACTTGTTTGGTTTGGCTCCACCAGATTAGGAAGCAGTTTCTTAAGCCTGTTAGCATGACATTTTCCTACCACTTTATAGGTCGTGTTGCACAATCCGATCGGGCGGAATTCTGCAATGGTCTTAGGAACCTCAACTTTGGGAAGCAGCGTAATGAGGGTCTTATTGCAGAGTTTGATTCTTTGAGGTAGTTTGAAACAGGAGACAACATGCTCATATAAGTCTTGAAGGATTATAATGTTGTCCGTGATATGGCGCTTCGGGACGAAACTTGTTTGGTTTGGCTCCACCAGATTAGGAAGCAGTTTCTTAAGCCTGTTAGCAAGACATTTTCCTACCACTTTATAGGTCGTGTTTCACAATCCGATCGGGCGGAATTCTGCAATGGTCTTAGGAACCTCAACTTTGGGAAGCAGCGTAATGAGGGTCTTATTGCAGAGTTTGATTCTTTGAGGTTGTTTGAAACAGGAGACAACATGCTCATATAAGTCTTGACCAACTCTTCCCCAACATTGCTTGTAAAAGATGTCTTGAAGGGCATCCTTTCCTGGCGCTTTCATCCCTCCCATGTCGCTCAAGACTAGCTTGGTTTCGCCAATGGAAGGAATGGCAACCGGGCTGTTGGTGACCTATGTTTCCATACCTTTGAAACGAGCGGGTATCAACAGATCAGATGTTTCCTCTTCCGTGAAAAAGCCGCAGTAGAAATCCTTTGCCAGAACCTTAAGTAAGTCTGGGTCATGAATCCAATTTCCAGAGTTATCTTGGAGCCTAGTAACTTTATTCCTCCGACGATGGCTGAGAGTAACATTGGGGAAGAAAGGAGTGTTCTGGTCGCCTTTAGAAATCTGGTTAGTCATGGAACTCTGCATCCAAAGCAACTCCTCTTCCCTAAGAGTTCGTTCAAGCTCGCCCCTGATCTCAACTTCTCGGTTTAGCGAGTCTGCAAAAGGCGAATTATCATTCATTGATTCTAGCTCAGCCAACTTCTTGGAGAGGGACTTCTTTCTAGTGGAAATGTTGTCGAAGACGTCTCTATTCCACACGCGGAGTTTGGCCTGCAAGTCCTGCACAGATTGAAGACAATCCCTACATCGGGTCCAATAGATATCAAGCATATTATGAAAATCCTTATGAGCCAACCAAGGGGCAAGAAAGCGGAAAGGTCTCACCTGGTACGATGTAACAATATCCGCCAAGCTTGATAGAAGGATTGGACGATGGTCCGAGCGAATTCACTGAAGATGAGTATTCCTGGTGTCCGGGTACTGCCTAAACCATTCCCGGTTGCAGATTGCGGGATCCAGCCATTGGCACAGTCTCCCGTTTTTTCACGTGAATTTGGAACCAGAGAACCCCACGTCGATGAAGCCACAATCCGTGATGCAGTCATTGAACTCAGACACCCTGTTGGGGTTGTACTTGGCTCCACCCTGCCGCTCCGATGGGATGATAATGGAGTTAAAGTCTCCCATGAGGAGCCACGGGTCTGTGATATTTGTTTCCAAACGAGGTAGAGCGTTCCAAAGTGGTCGCCGATCATAGTCGTTTGGTTTGGCATAGACAGCAGTCAGCAAGACTTGTTTCTGGTTGGTACATGTACCACGAAAGTGAAGAAATTGGGGGTTACTATCCTCCACAAAAACCACAAAGTCAACCGAGTTCCAGAGAACCTAGATGCCTCCGGAGAACCCCACCGCATCCACCCTCTCAAAGCGATCAAAACCCATCAAATGAATCACAGCAAGCGCGTCCTCACCACTAATTCATGGCTCGATGATGAAAACCATATTCGGTCGATGAATACGCATATAATCTTTGGAGCTAGGAAAATTTTTTGGGTGTTTCGCACCACGACAATTCCAACTAAAAATCTTAAACATGGGTAAAAAGATAGAGGAGTAACCCGGAAACTTCCCTGAAAAGATGACGAGAACCACACCAGCGACGCTCAACTATTACCATCGACCTCCATGTCACCCTCATTTCCGAAGGCGACCTCAACAATACTTTCCATCTTCCCGGATTTTCGTTGCTCCACTTTCTTTTCAGCGTTTGCAGCGGGGCGGAGGTGTCGTCGTCTGCCGTGCGGGTCATTCTTTGGTGATTTACTAATATGATCTTGTCCTTTCCTCTCCATCAAAAGAGCATTCCCCATTTGTTTCCCGACGGATTGGGTGTCGGTCGAGCTATCTCCCCCTTCCTGATGCCTCTGTTGGGCTTCCAGCGGGGTGGATACAGTTTGCCCGATATTGGGCTGGCAAACAACAGGTGATTTTGGGCCCATGAGTTGTGTCTGGGTCAGGGTGCCAGAATTGCAGGACCGATTCTTGGCAGCTGGCCCAGAATTTGGCTAAGTTTTGGAGAACGACGGGGGCTTCAACTCGTTATTCGTGTCATTTGTCCTAGATGAGCCTTTCTTCTTAGCCTCAGATTTCTCCTTTTTTCCTCTTTCCTTCTCCGTTTTATGACTCTTCTTTCCTTTATCAGTACCTCTTTCCTCCCCAATAGATTTTCCAGAGCCGTTGCTCACCATTCCTGCCTTAATAGCTTCTTCCCCTTTTTGCTTGATCTCACTCCCTTGATTTTTGGCTTCCATAACTGGTTCCTCCACCGCAATTTTTGCCTCATCATTATCAAGGGCATGGAAACAAGATCCGGATGCCTGTTGGGTTACAGCTGATGAGGTTGCCACTTGCGGGTTCGCCGGAATCATACTTTGATTCTCATCACTAGCCTACTCTTTTAGTCGCTGGACGTGTTTTGGCCTCTTGTTCCTCGTTGCTATCATCCAGGGCCCATAATCTTCTAGAACCTCCGGTCGGACCTTAGAGTTACCCTTAAAGTTGAACATCGGATTGGTTTTGGAAATGAAGTCCGTCGGGAGTTTCCCATCTTCGAAAGATTTCGCACATGTTACCTGGGTGTGACCATAGCGGCCGTAGGCGAAGCACACAAGGTGGAGACCTTCATACTCAATCCGCCGAACTCTTCTCTTCGTACGGTACTTTGGGACAAGCCGTTTGTTCAGATCAATTTTCACCCAAAGATGAGCATAATTCCCCCGAGTACAATGTGGCGTATTATAGTCTATCTTGATCACTTTATCAATTCGACTACCAATGTCATTAAGGATTTCAGTGTCAAAGTACCCCATTGGTAGCCGAGGGAGCCTTACCCAGACTTTGGCATGATTGATGACATCGTAGTTTGGATCAAAATCCAACCTCCATTCTGTTGTAAGTATGTAATGATCACCAAGAAGCCTGGGGCCACTGAACAAGGCTCAATCAGAATCATGTTGTGAGATGAAGCGGACAGTGAAGAATCCGTTTCCAAAGTCAGCCACGCCTACATTACCAATCTTCTCCCAAAGGTGTTGGATCTTATTTTCTAGGATTGAGAAGCGAAATTGTTTTCCAAGGATTTTACAAATGAGCGCCTTTCCCCATCGATCACGGATCCTGTTTACCATTTACTTCCGCACCCGAATCGTTGGACAGTCAGGATCATCATCACCATCTTCTTTGTACGATTCATCTCACATCAGATCGTTCTCTTGTGAACCACTCGAGGGAAATACCGAGTCGATGTATCAAAGCTTCATCAGTGGTGGTGTTGTCTTATCATTGCTGTCTCCATTCATTGCACTCACACCAGTAGTTGGTGTTTCAAGCATCATAGATCCCTGACTGGAGAATCACTTCATGCAGAGGTTTATGTTTTTTGCTTTATTGGATTGGGGATGTCTCCGGTGAGGAATATGGCGGTTCCTCTGAACGGTGAGACGGAGGATGGGTATGCTAATCAGCGGTAGCCATGGAATGCTTTTTCAGAGAGCTTTATCAGTGTCTCATTCTTTGTATTTCAATACAAACACCAAAATATTTTCCTGTTTTTATCAAGATACTTTTCCTAATCCCCTATTTTCTTAATAAGATCCTACAACGTTCATTTTAATAACCCGGAACTTAAATAAATTTGTATACAAAGAACGCATTAATGATGATCAACACAGTGATATCCATTTTGTTATATTTTAAGCAAAGAAACAAATTAATTTTTTAAAACACGTGATGATTGTAGTATTATCACTATCTTATCAGTGTCATACCAACATCATATCATGTTAGCATAACAATAATATCATGATATGACAGTGATATGATCTCATCAAACTATTTTGTCAAACATAAGACCTCACAACAACATCATATCACTATCATATCAACATCATATCAATATTATCTCTATCATGTCATACCAATGATCATATTACTGTCAGTGGTAATATCGTGATATGAAGGTGGCAAGACTCATCTTTTTCATTTTAACTCAAAATTAAAAGATATTGTATAGAAAGAGCACATTAATTATAATATGCACAATAATATATATATATTGTTATGTTTTGTCAACATAAGATCTTATACCAACATCATATCATAGTGATAAAGCATGATATGACAGTGATATGACGTCATTAAATCATTTGTCAACATCATATCACTATCATATCAATATCATACCACTGCGATATTATATCACCGTCAGTGATAATATCGTGATATGATAGTGGTAAGACGTCATAAAAATTTTGCTCCAAAATATATAAAAATGGATATCATCTTGTAGAGCACAAAAAATCTGTTTTTTCTGTGCAAAGGTTTTTGAAATCCGATGTAGAACGAATGAGTTATGACCCATTTAATTTTTTTGGGTGATTTGAAAAGAGTTTTACATACCATTTGGTATAAATGAATTCCATAAGTTTTGAGTAATTCATTTGGAAATGAAACAGTTTTGTGTTTGGTATTTAAAAAAATTCATTTTTAATTCTAAAATTTGAATTCTATTTAATTGGAACTAGGTATAGCAATTTCGAGGAAATGAGATGGAATTTTCAAATGAATTTCATAAGTATTTACTAATTATAAAGAATGATATAATTATACTCTTTTATTAACTAAATTACTTATACATATGACATACCAAACACAATAATTCATTTGACAATGAATTCTACACTACAATTTCTTTTATTTCTAAGATTTGAATATGACATACCAAACACAAGATTTTATTTGACAATGAATTCTACACTGTAATTCATTTTACAATGAAATGAGTTCTCAATTGATTTGGTACCAAACAGTCTGTAAATTACTTATATATATGACATACCAAACACAAGATTCATTTGACAATGAATTCTACACGAAAAATTCATTTTATTTCTAAATATTTTAGTATGACGTACCAAACACAAGATTTCATTTGACAATGAATTTTATACAGTAATTCAAATTACAATGAAATGAATTCTTGATTCATTTGATATCAAACGGTCTGTAATCCGCGCCGGTCACCACCAATATCCAGGCCGACAGAAAATCTGGCAGCTCTCTTTATTTACCTCTCTATGATACGGGCAATTGGATCTTTCTTTATTAAATTACAACCATTAAATTAGGTTTTGTAGTACTACAAAACTAATGGGTGTAACCTAACCCATTTTGTTATAAATATGATTATAATAAGTTCATTCACTTTTTCATATACAAGAGGACAAAGACATTTACAAAAATGTGCCAATTTATATCATATTTCAATTAAATTAATGTTAAATGTAAACTAATAATAGTTTTAGAGGCAAACCATTTTATTTTTAGGAACCAAGATATTAGTCGTGTATAACATATTGAAATTATTGAGGAATTTTACAATGCTATATAGTAACGGTATTATAAATTTTTTGCTTTTACAATACAATTTGAAGTTATACCTTTAACATAGCGATACAAAAAGTGTGTTGCCAATTTTAGCCGCTAAGGTAATTTCTCTTTAGTGACTATATATAGCTTTGTACGCAGAAGACAAATAAACAGCTACCAAGTAACTTACGTTGATGAGTTGCTTAATCCACTGGTACGTGCATACGACGACACTCAACGATAATACGACATTGTTCATTTGATCATATATAATTAAGAGAGGTCGAGTTTTAGAGGAGTCAAAAACTTATTCATTCCTGTGACACTAAGCGACGAAAAGAGCCAAAATCTCCATGGTTACGCCCTATACATACATGCATATATTAAGCAATATAAATAGGATGCTTTTAATTAAGCTCTCGCCCAACTTGCACTGCTAATCAAAATCAGTATTAGCAAAGCTAGCTAACTTGTTAACCGCAACCTAAGAGTTAGTTAGTTAGCTAGCAAAAGATGGCGATGGGAAAAAGAGTTAGCGCAGCAGTAGCGATCACTATTGTGTTCTTCTTCTTGTTTCTGCAGCTTTCTGCAACATCAGCTGGTAGGCCGGCCACGACGTCGGGTGCTCCCCCGGCGACGATCGACGATCAACCGTCGGCATTCAACGCTCCCAAATCGTCAACCTATCGTCCAGAAGACTGCGATGGTATGAGCTAGTCTCCCTATTATTTTTTTTTTGTACGATACTATGGCGATGTCGTTGCTAGTATAGTTTTTATCTATACTAGGATGGATTCCTTGTATTATCACAAAGCACCACACGATTATCATATATTTATTTGAATTCAACTATATCAAATTACAAGAATATATAATGCTGGACATGTCTAAGATTTTCAAAAATTATAAAAATTGCTAACTTCTTCATAGTGTATACCAATTATCATATCGGTATGGTTTATTTTTTATACCACAATAGTGAATTATACCGCCATATCATAATATAGGACATCTCGATTAATATGTTTTTGTTTTGAAATTCATCAAAAGGTATGCCATTTAGTAGAATATAATTGATATAATTATTTATGTAACAAATTAAAAAAAGATATATATGGTTAGGAATTAATTAGAAAGTGGTTATGCATGATGCGTAAAGGTGCTTTTCTGTATTTTTTTTCTGGGTAATTACTAATAGGCAACCGGCGATTTTTGTTATTCAAGGAAAAGGGGCATGTTTTCAGTTATGTGAGTAAAGTTCAATATTGCAATGTTAATCAAAATTGAAACATGATATTTAAATTCTATGACATTTCCATTCCAAGCAATGAACTTCTTTCCCTTTATTCTTGCATCTATTAGCTTGATAGGTTATCCATATTTATACCTTACTAATCATGATCATGATATCATGTTGTTTCATTTGTTGTCGATGTCAGATGCTGGTATCGGGTGCCAAGTTTTTGGCCTTTGCTGCAGGCATTAATTAAGGCGAGGTTTTTTTTTATGGGAAATGAGCAAATGATCAGGATTAAGCACATAGAATGCATGTCGTACTACTAAGTACTACTACTACGTACAACTCATATCTCAGATTAATTTTGCGCACGTTAATTCTTTCAACCAATGATATGTATCCGTAATTTGGTGTATGAAAATCATCTAGTCCCATCTCGTACTCGTACACGTACTCGTACTCATACTCACGCTCTCATACTCGTACTCGTACTCATTAGTCATTTCTTATTAAATATACTTTCGTATGTATAATAGATGAAGAGGGGAGTGAGATTTTTATGTCACTTTGTTTTTTGGTTAGAGAAAGTATAAGTTGTAACTTGTAACTCTATCAACAACATTTTGAATAAACATGAACCTTTTCATACTGGAAGAGGAGACAACAGAGGTGGACGTAGCTATTAGAATTTTATATGATACTCAGATTTTTGTCTCTACAAAATTCTCAAATTCGGTATCTCCATCACAACTCTATTAATTAAAACTAACATATCTGGATCGAGCTACAAGAAGTTTATTGTTATACATACTAAAGCATGTAAATATGCAATATATGTTTTAATTTTTAATTATCTATAATATATAAGTTATTATTTATCTTATTTAAAAACTCAATTCACTCTCTTAATGAAACAATGTGTTGGTTGAATAAAAAGTTCCATCTCTCTCTTCCTCTTTTCTCTTTGAAAAATCTTCTTCGTCGAACAAGCATGATGGCGGCCGTCACCGATGGTGCGGCAGCCGTCGCTGATAGTCATCGTGGATTTCCTTGTTTGGGATTATGGAGAAAATAGACTTGATTTTTACGAGCCTGGGTACATCAATGGTTCGTAACGGATTCCACGGGAGGTGATTGAAGAAGGCGCAAAGAGATGAGAGCACAGTCTAGTAGGTCAATCCATATGTTGATTGGCCTCAATTTGTTCAATCCAGTACTGGGCAAGCTGGTGGTGGGAGGATGGAGAAGTAGTTCGGGTATCTTGGATGGTAAGAAGCTGGTTATCTTTCAATTTCCCAATGCTGAATTTTGCTAGTGAGTATTTGAAAATGGGCTCTGGCATCATCGATAGAAACTTGTATTTCTCTGACGATGGGAGCCAGGTATCAGTCTTCTTGCCATTGATAATACAACTCTTTCGGTATGGGGTGGTCTTTCCAATCTGCCTTATAAGCTCACGTCTAAAGTAGGTCTGGGAAGAGTTACTAATTACTTAGGCAAGACTCTGTGGTGTTAATGGGCTGCTCCCCCATCTTTTGAACTTGTCCTCGAGGAAACTGGTCTTCAAGCTTTGGTTCGCGACACTGCGTTTGAACCATGCTACTGATGCCACTTGATGAGCCCTAAGTTGTGACTCTTTGATCAGAATCACGCAGCTCCCAAAATTGAAGAATTGAAGTGAAGCTCGAACAAGAACAGGATAGGTATTTTTTTCGTTTTAGTATGGAACTTTCGTGCAATATTTTACAAGGAAGAAGGCTCGATAAGTATAGGGTAGAAGCCGACCACGATCAATGTGACTAATTGATCAATACAAGCACTCAAGTCACCTAGAATTCTCTAAATAAAGGTTTGTATTTAAGTTTGTATTCAATTGAACGAAATCTGACTTACAATGCAAGTAGAGAGTCTTTAAATAAAACTAAACAAAGCTATAACCTATCAAAGACGTCGCAAACAAAATGGAACTCTAAAACCAAACTCAAAACGAACAAAGAATAGAAATCTTTATGCAATAAGGAAACAATTTGCTTGTGGCTGCAAGAGAGAAACTTCAAGCTCCATGCGATCTTTGCACAAGTTCGTTCGAAGCCTTGGAGGTATGAACTTGATCAACCAATTTCTTTAAGTTGCTCAGAAAAATGTGTACTTGCATGTACCTAACTCCTTCTGCTTCGACCCTTACTATCACCTCTTATATTCAACAGTCGTGGAATTGACTCTTCAACCTGTGGATTTCTCCTAATCAAAATTCACGGTCTAAACCCCTAATCCACGACTGTGGAATTGTCATCCAACTCGTGGAATTCCTTGTTCCTATTCCATGTCTTGAATGTCTCATTTCTCCCTCGTCCGAACTCCGAATTAGTCCCCGTTTGATCCTAGAAGCTCATAGTCTCGTCCTCTTTCTCATCATGAAAAATTACATTATTAATTGTCCATAAAATCAGGTAGAAGTCCATTCTTCTTCAAGTCATGCCCGAGTTTCTTCCCCCGAGTCGCCAATTGATCTCCGATTAACTTGAAATTTGCGTCTATGCTTCACTGTACGTGCTAGGATATGAAATATGAAAATAGAACACAACCTATCGTAAAATTGGCAAAAGTATGATAAACACAAACAATCAAGAAATGATGGATAAAAACATGTGGAAATTCAGTGTTATCAATAACTATAGGGTAGAAGCTGACCACGATCAATGTGACTAATTGATCGATACAAGCACTCAAGTCACCTAGATCCTCTAAGCAACTCAACACACTCACGAAGCAAATCTTTGTGAACCAAAATTCAAGGTTTGTATTCAATTGAACGAAATCTGAGTTACAATGCAAGTAGAGAGGCTTTAAATAGAACTAAACAAAGCTATAACCTATCAAAGACGTCCCAAACACAATGGAACTCTGAAACCAAACTCAAAACGAACAAAGATTTGAGATCTTAATGCAATAAGGAAACAATTTGCTTGTGGTGCAAGAGAGAAACTTCAAGCTCCACGCGATCTTTGCACACGTTCGTTCGAAACCTTGGAGGTATGAACTTGATCAGCCAATTTCTTTAAGTTGCTCAGAAAAATGTGTACTTTCATGTACCAAACTCCTTCTACTTCGACTCTTACTATCCCAACTCGAATAAGCCCTCAAAATAGGGCACTTAGACTCTGTCCCTACTTAGCCAGAGTTTGGCAGTTTTCCTGTGTATTCAACGCAACTTGAGAGCTTCTGGAAATGACCTTGGAAACTGGTTCTAGAGTAAATCAACCTTCAAAGACGTAATTGAACTCGGACTCTTCAACTACTAGCCTTCCTTTTGCATTTATACTGAACCAATTGTGAGATATGAATCCCCAAAGTAGGCTCCATGAAACTGTACACTTAGCCAAATTCTGCCCCTTTTCTTACCAACATGGATTGCTTCTTTGGCAAGCAATAGAAACTTGTACAATTGGCTACTTAGGATCATGTCAGTGGCAATTCTCAATCCAAATCACCAATCCATTAAAAATATCCAACTAATCCAATTCATTTTATTCGAATTCAATTGGATTCGTGGAAAGTTGGCAAACTACAATTTAGTACCTATATTTTTTATATTTTGGTACCTAAATTTTTTCATTATGACAGTTTAGTACCTAAAATATTTACATTTTACATATTGGTCTGAGGTTGATAATTTAATTCGGATTCATGGATAATCTATCAATCCAAATGATCTAATCTATAAATCTGATCCACCAATCCATTTGATACATGGATCCACTAATTCAATTCACCAATCCATGAATCCAATCCATTTGCCACATCTAAGTATCCTTATGGGTGTGATACCACAATGTTGAAGCCACATTTGTGCAAACAAACAAAACTTTATTGAATGCAATAAGAATGTTTTGAACACATGAGACTCCTGTCCGCTCTAGGTTTACAACCCGGTTTAGCCCGTTGGCTAGGTCGAGCTACTGGGTTGAGGATTATTGGTTCGACCATTTTAGCGGGGATATATGAAACAGTAATTATATTGTTCATACATTTATACATTGTATTAAATATAAAAATAAAATGGTATAACTTCAAACTAAAAATAGAAAGAGGATTATGCAAAAACAAAAGAGCCCAACCTCAGTAGGCTTCCTTCTGGCCTCGGTGGAATATCATAGAAGTAGAAAGACGTTTACAGCCTTCCGTGAGATGCGCTTAGAGCTACAATGTATCTTTTAACCCATTCCTCATGTGGAATCTCTTTAAATGAATGGGGTAGATTTTCCAAATCATCAATGCATATACAAGCGATCTTCAAATCCCCCCCCCCCCCCCCCCCCCCCCCCCCCCCCCCCCCCCCCCCCCCCCCCCTTCCCTCTCAACGTAGATCCACCCGACGGATGTGTGCAGCCCGTTTTTCTCACCAAATCAAGACCAAAGTGGACCAACCGATGGATCGTACCGCAGTTGACAACCTTGTATATCCGCTACTTCCTGGAAAACAGATAAACTCCTACCTACCACTACTCTTAAGATCCGCCAGTCACTAACTAAACAGAAATATATTTTTTACAGCGAACAAGCTTGGCCACAATTGCTAACCACTTTGCCCTTTCCCCTGATTTTCGTGACCTCTAGAAAAGACTGAGTAGCAGCATAAAAACCAACAAAAGCAATTGGAGGAAAGGCAGATACGTATAATTTCTTACATTTCTTTCGGAAATTCCAAACACAAAGTCTCTGATAGGAAATGATATGGTTAGCTGTACTATGCGCCCATATTCTAAACCATGTCCATATGTATATACATTCCTTACTATGAATAGCCTTGTACGTAGAAGACAAATGAATAGCTACAACGTAACTACGTCGATGAATTAATCCACTGATACGTGCATAGGACGACACTCAACAATATTAAGACATTGTTCATTTTGTGCAGCAGAACCCAACACGTGATATATATATACCATTAACACGATATATAATATTTGATTATACAATTAAAGGAGCTGCCGATCGAAAAGAGCCAAAATCTTGTTTACCAATGATTAAGCACTATATATAGGAAGCTTTTAATTATTAAGCTCTCCATCCCAACTCGCAAAGCTAGATAACTTGTTATCCACAACCTAAAATATCGTTAGTTAGCTAGCTAGTAAAAGATGGCGATGGGAAAGAGAGTTAGCGCAGCAGTAGTGATTGCTGTCATGATCTTCCTCTTGTTTCTGCAGCTTTCTGCAACATCAGCTGGTAGGCCGGCCACAAAGACGTCGGAGGCTCCCCCGCCGACGATCGGCCACGAGGAAGCTACAAATGCCACTCAAGCGCCGGCGTTCAACGATCCCAAGCCGTCAACCTATCGTCCAGAAGGGTGCAATGGTATGAGATAGTCTCCCTATCATGTGTTGGTACAATACAATTACGATGTCGTTAGCAGTATAGCTTTATCTATACTAGGATTCATGGAGATAAATGTTGTAATTAACCTCCATATTTCTTTTCACCATACTGTTAATTTTTTTTCTGTTGTTATTCTTAACTTGTCTGATATAGATTACAAATTTAATTGGTCCTATCGTATGATTTATAGAAATGTGGATTACTTTAAATCAAATCACACGATATATAATACCGGACTTGTCTAAGATTTTCAAAATATTAAAACCGCTAGCTAACTTCGTCATAGTGTATACCAATCATCATTATCAATATGGTCTATTTTTATACCACAATGGTTTGATTCATGTACCGCCATATAATAATATTGGATATTTTGATTAACATTTTTTGTTTCAAAATTCAACAAAATGAGCAGAGTATAATTAATTTAATATTATGTAACAAATTAAAAATTGAAATTAAAACAATTATTTTAAGTCCAAGCAATCAACATTCACAGTTATCTTTTATGCAAGGTACTTATTTTCCTTTATTTTTGCCGCTAGCTTGTTGGGTTTTCCATATCTTATTAATCACAATCATGGTATCATGTCGTTTCATTTGTTGTTGATGGCAGATTCTGGTGTCTGGTGCCAAGTTTTTGGCATTTGCTGCAGTCATTAAGGCCAGGTTTTGATGGGAAATGAGCAAATTATAACGAATAAGCACATCGCATGCATGCCGTACTACTAAGTACAACTCATATCTCAGTTTAATTTCGCGCACATTAATTTCCTTCGACTACTAATGATATGTATCGATGAAAGTCGTCTAGTCGCATCCCATCTCATACTCAATACTCATAGACCATAGTCATTTCTTATTATATCTACTTTCTTATGTACAATCGATGAGGAGGGGAGTGAGATTTTTATGTCTTTTCGTTCGTATTTTGGTAAGAGAAAATACGAGTTGTAAGTTGTAACTCTACTCGGAAATTTTGAGTAAACCTGAACTATATCATATTGGAAGGGGAGACACCAGGACTGGACCAAGCTAGTAGAATTTTTTCTTGAGAAACTCAGAGAGTTTTTTGGGTACAAAATTCTAAATCCTAGCAGCCACTGACGTTAATTAGGTCACAACCTTCCTCGCGTGCCATGTTTAATAAACCCATATCTTTGATCTCATGGCAAATTCTGTCGTACCGCTACGGCACCGGTGCCGTCTATTTTCTCTGACCGGCTAAGATGATTTGGGTTTTATATTATTGGGTAGGTCTGTGTTAGCTATTACTAACATGGTTTCTGTCGCGGCAATCCACACCCAACATCGCCGTTGCCACCGATCAGTCATCACCATCATCACCTTATTGTTGCAGCTGAGTCATCCCCGACATCTTCTCTGTTGTGCCAATCCATCGTCGTTGTCGCTGGTCGGCCCTCTCTGCCCATATCCTGAACCCCCCATCCGTCGAGATCGCCACCGTTATCTACGGCGACTGGGTGATGATATCCAGTTTCAATCGTTTTAACCTTCTCTCTGTGCTCCCCTCTCTAATTCGGGCTCCACCCTCTCGTTTCAATTTTCCCATCCTATTCCTATTCTTCTCCTATTCTTCAGTTACGTTAGATCGAAGGGAGGAAGAAGAGTTATGCTCACATGATGATAAAGAAGATGAAATAAATAAATTAATTGAGTTATCTTGTTCCCGATGAAAGGGAATAATAATAAACAAATAATTTTTGTTTTCGCTGAGCATGAAAAAATAATTATAATATAAAATTTTAATATAAATAGGTTCAACCGAATATAATGGGTTCAACCAATCTTGGTTAAAAGGTAGTTATTAATCAATGGTCCTAATTAAATAGAAACATATCCAACGGCTGGGAAAATGCCAGCACTAGTGCCGTCACTGTACCACAGAAATGGTCTTGATCTCATATATCAACTTAAGTTGTAAATTAGGGATGACAAAAATATCCATAATCGTGGATATCCTCTCGAATCCGACCTTGTTGGGTAGGGTAAAACCCGAACGACTTTTAGCGGGTACGGTAAAATCCGAACCCGAATATTGTGGGTAATGGGTGGGCATGGTTTTCTCACTATCCAAACCGAACCCGCCTGATATACACATGCGTATGCATTTTTTCTAGAAAAATCATCATTTTTCTCTAACATATTTTATATTTAGCATATAAATATAATTTTTTCATGAAATTGTGTTGTTATAATTTTATATTTAGCATATAAATATAATTTTTTCATGAAATTGTGTTGTTTTAATGAGTTTTCTGCATTCTAGTGAATTATTTTCATAATTTTTATCTTACGTAATGCGAGAATACATGTAAATATTAACATATTGGTTGGAGTTATAAGAGAAACTATTATCCATGAATAACCATGGATACCCGAAACCTGAACGCGTATGAGCATGATTTTGATTTTCTATACGTTTCTTATGTGGGTATGAATATGAGTAAAACCTGAATTACTTTGGGTAGGGAACCTATCCGTCCCCGACCCGACCCATTTCCATCCCTCTTGTAAATGCACTTTTGCTCTGGAACTACGTACATTACTATATTTATTTATTTGTTTTTTAGGTTAGAGTCACAACCGCCACCAATCCCTCTCTCTGGCTTAATGGCTTTGGCCTCCGCTCTCTCCCTCAATCTCCAACTTCCCTGTCCATTCTCTCTCCCTCGATCTCTGACTCCCCCAACTCTGACTCTACCATCGTTACATCTCCCTCTCAACTCGACCATCATCTTCTCCCCCCTCTCCCACACTCCCACACTCCCCCAACTCGACCGACGACCATCGTCTCATCTCCTCGACTCCCCGATTCCCCAATCTCGGCCATCATCTCCTCAGACCTTAGTGACAAGCTCGATGAGAATCAGATCTCGAAGATCGAGAGGGTTGAGAAGCAGAATAGGTGGTTGCCTAGTCTAAGCTTTAATCTCCTATTAGATCTAGAATCCTCAAGGCCTCGACGAGTTTTGCCACATGCAACGCCGATCTTCTCTTGCCATTTTCTTCGTTTATTCAGTAGGTGGCACCACCTCTGCCAACATGTGGTTGTCGGCGAAGCAATTGAAGGGGATGCAGGTCGGAGATGGCCGCTCTAGTGTCCTGCTGATTTGATGAAGCTAAGTCGTAGATGCAGCCGCGGCGGCGCGATGTGAGTTTGGAGGGGAGGCAGTTTGGAGTCGGAGAGGGTTGTGTGTAGGGAAAGGAGTTAGGGTTTTAATTGGGCTAAGTTAGTTCGGTTGGGCTTAGGGAGTTAGGCTTTTTGGGGGTTTTATTTGGGCTGAGAGAGTTGGCAGAATAGGGATAGTTTTGGGCTTCCCTTCTGAATTCCGAACCGAATAGTAGTATTTCGGTTTCAGTTCAGGTTGGGTTTGGTTCGTGTCTATTCAGATTTACCAAATCGGATGCCTACCCCTATACCGATCATTATAATTTTTGTGAGGAGGCGTTCCAATCAATTTTGAGATGTAATGTTCTAGAATTAATTTTTTAATATAATAAAATGAGATTATTTTGAACAGGAAGAGATATGTTATAAAACCTATTATTACAAACCACTACAAAACATCATCATCCACCAGCCATCCCTTCCTTTCTTCCTTCTATCTAATGACTCAAATTATTTCGTAAAGAAAAATGAAGAATGGACTGGTAATTCCGCCACCACTTGCCTTTTTTTTTGTTTGGGCTAATATGGATCCAAAGGAGAGAGAGAAGACAATTGCCTAGTAAAAGACTATTTTTTCTAATCACCCATTTTTCATAATCGGTACCTATAACATTTTTATTAACTCGAAATTTAAATAATTTTCTATAGAAAGAATGTATTAATTATGATATACAAAATTATATTCTTTTTGTTGTATTTTAAGCAAAGAAAAAAATTAAATCTTCAAAACACGTGACAATTGTAGTATTATCACTGTCATGTCGTGGTGATATGATAGATATGACATTGATATGATGAATCATCTCTTTCATTTCAACTAAAAATAAATAAAAAATTGTAAAGAAAGAACACAATCATTAGAATTTATACAGTGATATCCATTTTGTTATGTTTGTCAAGCATAAGATCTCATATCAATATCACAGCACTGTTATACAATGATATTATCATTATATGACACTAACATTTATTTTATTATATTTTAAAATAAAAATATACAGAAATCTAAAATCTTAAAAACATATGACTTTTCCATATCGATTAACTAGCCCATTAATTATTTCATTAATTAGTGTTTGTTATTTTGATTTTCATATTTTACCACTTAATTTGTATTTAAAAATTAATTTAGTTATTAAATAAAAAAGTACGTATTTTAAGTATTTTAAAAATTTTATGATGTACATCGTAATATATTATATTCAAATAATTATTTTATAATTAAATAATAATTTGGATAAAAAAGGAAAACAACAAAACTTGTTAAAAGACGGGAAAATAAATTGATTTTTTATTCTATTTAGTACATCTACTAATAGATATAATGCAATGTCAATAAACAAATTTGACACATCAACTCTTTTTTTTTTTTTTTTAAGGGTGACCGTTCACCTTCTTTTTTTTTCAAAGATGTCCCAAGAGGAATACAACAGATACGATAAAATAAGGGGACTTTTGTGGGTCAAAATTAAAAAGTAGAATTAAGAAAGAGCCGTTGGTCGACCAATCGACAATCCAACAATGAGAAACTTGTTTCGCCACGAGATGGACAGCCTTATTATACTTACGTGGACGTAGAGATGGCAATTTTGACCTGACCCGATTTACCCGACCTGTAGGCGGGGCGGGCATGGGTATCTCTCATCGACCCGACCTGCCCTGACCCGCCCCATTCTCGACCCGTTCTTGCCTAAATTACATATAATCTTTGTCAAATTACTTAGGATTCTCCTCTTATTACATCATATTTTAGCTATAATAAAGCTGTAATTAAGTGAAAACCTCAATTTCTTCAATAATTTAACTAGATTTTATCATATTATGGTTTCTTTCTTGGTCTTTTAATGAAAATAAGTAAATAACAAATATTTCTAATATTTTCGACATAAATTACATACCCATTGGATCGACCTGCCCCGACTCGCGTCCCATAATAAATTACGCGACCAACCATGGGGCGGGTATGGGTATCAAGATACCCGCCCCGTACCTGCCCCATTGCCATTCCTAATGGGACGAAGTGGAATGATAATCGATGTATGGGGGCTCTTAGGATCTAAACTTCAGATAGAAGATTACCCGCAAAAGCGTGTGATGAATCATTTCAATTTGATCATTTGAACAATTACCTACGCATCACCACAAAAAGAAGACATTAGATATTGAATGTGACTATGTGAGAGGCACCACCTACGCATCAACCTCTATTGCTCAAACCGCATATTGTGGAGGGATGTCAATTCCATATCTGCTCCGTTCTCCTAAAATTGCTGGCGTCATTTATTTTTTGTTGCACACGTAAACATTATTTAATTATTTTATTTTTTTACAAGTTACAACTAGTGATGGCAATGAGGCGGGGTGGGGCGAGTACCTCAATTCCCATGCCCCGCCCCACACTACTACGGGGTGGGACGGGTCGACCCACTCTTACATGTTATTCGAAAAAAATACAAGTAAATTTTACTTTTTACGATAAAACGAAGGGTAAAACAATTTAAGAATGAAAAATAGTGATAATAGAATGGGTAATTGAGTCTAACAAGTTGAAAGAGCGACTTTAACTAGTTGAAGAAAAGTCAAAATAGGAGAAATATGTATAGAAATTGTAAGAAATTGAGATAAAATGAGTCTAGAACGGGGCGAGACGGGGTAGGACGGATCGGAAGTAGATACCCATACCCTACCCCACACTACTGCGGGTCGGGTAATACCCGCCCCATCGCGGGTCAGGTCGGGTAATACCTGCGGAACGGGTTGTAATTGCCCTCACTAGTTACAACCCACTTCTTACATGACATCCCGCCACACTTTTTATTTATTCAAATAACTGTTCTTTTGTTTTAGGGTGGAAGCCATCTGACAATAAAGGATTATTTCTTTTTATTTTCTCGGATCCTGTTTTTCATTTACTTTGCTGCTACGCTACAACAATGAAAGATTGATCCAAACACATTTTTTTAGATTTTTTTATCTAATTTTTTTAATTCTTTTATATTATTCCAATTTATTAAAACATTATTAATTAACCAAATCTTTCGTCGTAGTAAGCATGATGGTGGCCTGGGATTTCCTCGGTTTTAGCCGTTTAATCAGGCATTGTTAGCTAAAGTGGGCTGGAGAATTCTAGAGAACCCAGATTCGCTCTTGGCGCAGGTGTACAGGGGTAAATACTTCCCCAACGGGTCCCTGCTAGCAGCTCGAAAAGGATCTCATCCCTCCTGGGGATGGCAAGGAGTCCTGTATGGTTGTGACCTGTTACGGCAAGGATTGCGATGGCAAGTTGGTTCGGGGGATAGTATTCCTATGGTTGGTGCATCCTGGATCCCGAGTCTGCATGGGGAGCCAGTCCAGACTAACCCGGGCGTCTATTTCACAGGGACGGAGAAGGTTTCGCACCTTCGGGTGTCGCCTAATGGGGAATGGTGTTTGGAATGCTTGCAGTTTTGCTTCCTACCTAGGGAGGTAGCGGCGATCTTATCCATCCCATTGCCCAATGTGCCGGTTGCGGATAAGCTGGTTTGGCATGAGGATCCTTCTGGGTTGTACACTGTCAAATCGGGTTATCACTTGGCGATGCGATGTTCCAGGGCTCGTGATCGATGGAAGGTGGAGGTTAGTTGGATGGACCGCAAGTTGTGGATGGAGATGTGGGGATACCCTATTCAGCCTAAGCTCCGGTTCTTTCTTTGGCAAGTGTTTCGCCGCATCCTGCCTACCACGGAGAAGTTGATAGCCAAGGAGGTGGAAGTGTTGCCTAGGTGTCCTGTGTGTTGGTCGTAGGAGGAGACGATTGAACATCTGATGTTCTTCTGTCCGGTGGCACTATGGGAAGCAGCGGGCTTGCAGTAGAGTTTGCACGTGTTCCCGCGTGAGCATATTGGTATTTTTCTTCGACGTCTCTTGGCAACAGATGGGTCTCCGCAAAAGGTTGTAAAGGTGGTGGCTCTCCTCTGGCGAATCTGGAAGGCTCGAAATTGTAGTATTAAATCTTCAAAACACGTGACAATTGTAGTATTATCACTGTCATGTCGTGGTGATATGATAGATATGACATTGATATGATGAATCATCTCTTTCATTTCAACTAAAAATAAATAAAAAATTGTAAAGAAAGAACACAATCATTAGAATTTATACAGTGATATCCATTTTGTTATGTTTGTCAAGCATAAGATCTCATATCAATATCACAGCACTGTTATACAATGATATTATCATTATATGACACTAACATTTATTTTATTATATTTTAAAATAAAAATATACAGAAATCTAAAATCTTAAAAACATATGACTTTTCCATATCGATTAACTAGCCCATTAATTATTTCATTAATTAGTGTTTGTTATTTTGATTTTCATATTTTACCACTTAATTTGTATTTAAAAATTAATTTAGTTATTAAATAAAAAAGTACGTATTTTAAGTATTTTAAAAATTTTATGATGTACATCGTAATATATTATATTCAAATAATTATTTTATAATTAAATAATAATTTGGATAAAAAAGGAAAACAACAAAACTTGTTAAAAGACGGGAAAATAAATTGATTTTTTATTCTATTTAGTACATCTACTAATAGATATAATGCAATGTCAATAAACAAATTTGACACATCAACTCTTTTTTTTTTTTTTTTAAGGGTGACCGTTCACCTTCTTTTTTTTTCAAAGATGTCCCAAGAGGAATACAACAGATACGATAAAATAAGGGGACTTTTGTGGGTCAAAATTAAAAAGTAGAATTAAGAAAGAGCCGTTGGTCGACCAATCGACAATCCAACAATGAGAAACTTGTTTCGCCACGAGATGGACAGCCTTATTATACTTACCTGGACGTAGAGATGGCAATTTTGACCTGACCCGATTTACCCGACCTGTAGGCGGGGCGGGCATGGGTATCTCTCATCGACCCGACCTGCCCTGACCCGCCCCATTCTCGACCCGTTCTTGCCTAAATTACATATAATCTTTGTCAAATTACTTAGGATTCTCCTCTTATTACATCATATTTTAGCTATAATAAAGCTGTAATTAAGTGAAAACCTCAATTTCTTCAATAATTTAACTAGATTTTATCATATTATGGTTTCTTTCTTGGTCTTTTAATGAAAATAAGTAAATAACAAATATTTCTAATATTTTCGACATAAATTACATACCCATTGGATCGACCTGCCCCGACTCGCGTCCCATAATAAATTACGCGACCAACCATGGGGCGGGTATGGGTATCAAGATACCCGCCCCGTACCTGCCCCATTGCCATTCCTAATGGGACGAAGTGGAATGATAATCGATGTATGGGGGCTCTTAGGATCTAAACTTCAGATAGAAGATT